GCCCCCCTCCCTGGTGCGCGGAGCGCCCCAGGGGCGGCGCCGGAGGCGCCGCCTGGGGGGGCCCAGCGCGGATCCAATGAATCCGCGCGGAGTGCCAAACGTTTATTAGTATAGTGTTTCTCTCTTCTTCGAGTATAGCCCTCTTCTGCGCGTGGCCGACATCTGCTCCGACACCACCTGGGAGGCACACAGAGATGGCGGTCCCTCGCGCACCGCGGCGCCCACCGAAGAGAGAACTCCCCCCCTGCGGGCAGGGGCCCGCAGAAGGACCGCGCGGGGGGTCACTGCTGGACCAGGTGGCCGCTGCACGCGACCGAGTGCAGCTCGCCAAGCTCGTGCCTCGGGAGGGGGAGAAAGATCGGCTACACGCAATCGGCGGCGAGCGAGGGGAGAAAATGAGAAGGAGAAGGCCTTCTCAGAAGGCGGCGGGACTACTCAGGGACCCTCGCGCGTTCTGAGCAGCTGTTTTTGTCTTCGGGGAAAGCTTCCAAAACTTCTCAGAATGCCAGGAGACTTCCGAGCCTTCTGAAGGCTTTCCCCTTTCTCACCTACCCCCTCGCTCGCCGCCTACGCAAGACTGCCGCTGGGCAAGAGCGACCTCGGGTGCGCGGAGTGAGCGCGCAAAGTGGACAAATCCAGGCGCGCAAGCAGCCGCTATCGCGTCGCGCTCAGCGACCGGCGGGGCCGCCAGCGTTCCCGCACTACAGGTCGCTCCAGCGAAGGGCCACTCGCGCGTGGAGTCGCATTGGCACGCTGCCATTAGGAACTCGCCAGCGTGTTACTCCTCGTCTTCCTTTTCCTGCGCCTCCTTCCGTTTTGGTTTTCCACTTGTCTTCGGACCATCTCGCCCGTCGCCCGTGGCTTGTCTTCCATGGCTAGGCTGCGCGCGCGTGCGCTCCGAGGGGTGCTCTGGCGCCTGTTTGGCGGGATGGCGCCGTGGGCAAAATTGGCCAAACCTCCGGATCCCGACGACAATGTTTCCCGGACGGGTTCCGATTGCCACTTTCCACCGTCCGAAGGCGTGGTGTCTCCTCAACCGTGACACGTTCATGGTTTCCCCACAACGGCGCATCATTGATGCTGCTTTGTCAGGGATCTTTTGACCCAGGGTCAATCCAGACCTGGTTCAGTCAGGCCTTGCAGAATCCTGCAGGTTCCTGCAAGACCCTGGACCCAAACCCGGATCAATGCGAAAGATCCTGCAAAATCCTGCAGGATCCTGCGCCCAAGCCCGGGTCAGTGCGACCCTGGCCCCTGTAGGATCCTGCAAGATCGGGTGCTCTGGCTGACCCCGTTTGCATTGACCCCCGTCTCAAGGCTCCCGACTTTGGCTCCCCGAGTGCCTTCCGGGGCAATATCTCCAGTGGAAGAATCCGCACGGCGTCGTCTCGATTCCCTCGTAGAACTTGCCGAAGACCACGGCCAGCACGGCCTCCAGGACCTTGAGAGGAAGAACACACATGGATAAGCAAAAACTTTCGGGACCCTGCGGGGATTATGATGTGACTACGTGGTCATCAACAGACTCCACCAACCATGAACCATCGGCTTCTCATTGCTTCGCATCCGCAAGGCGCGCCACGTCCAAGGGAACATCGGGGCTTCGAGTGCCAGCTGTCCTAATAGAAGTACAAGAGTTATGTTGCTCCCATCGGACTTGAGGACCACATCCCACAAATAATTTCGAGAACCCAGAAAACAGTCGAAAGAGTGTCGAAGGAGTGTCGGACGCGAATCTCCCAGGACCCGACGCGTGACAACCCTCGAGCTTCGGTACTTGCTTGATGCTCAGAATTCTTTTCCTGGTGCTCAAGGCTCAAGTAGGTTGGAACATCATAATGCACAAGAGCACACCCATGCCCCGTGCCGCACAAACAGAAACTTTCGGACCTCTCTTTTGGACACCCGAAATGGGTACCGAAAGAATGGGTACAATGCCCAACAACAAATGTTGCCCCAAACCAACAGCAGCCGCTGTTTGGCAGGCGGCCTTCTGTCTCGAATGGACACAGGCCGCGGCGGCGCGGACAGCGAGTCCTGTTCAAAATGAAGAGGAACTGCTGTTGGGCATCGTACCCATTCTTTCGGTACCCATTTCGGGCGTGCTAAAGTAGGTTGGAACATCATAACGCACCAGAGCATACCCATGCCCCGTGCCGCACAAACAGAAACTCTCGGACCTCCCTGGGGACTCCTCGCATCGGCGCCCGGCGCGCGGAGCCGGAGGCGCCGCCGGGAGTGCCCCGCGACGATCCAAGAGCACCGCGCGGAGCTGAGAAAACTCATGTTTGTTTTGCTATGTCTTCTTTTTTAATATATATAAATATACAGATATGTACATATATATATATACATACATATATATACACATATACATAATGTTGTTTATGCTAATTGCTCGTTCTTCGAGCCTTGCTGTGGCTCACGAGGAAGACCGCCTGGCCCCGGCCGAGGCCCTCCGCCGCGAGCGCGTCCGCGTAGACCCGCGCGGCCACCGCCTCGACCCGCCTGCTCGTGTCCTCTGGACGCCCGAAATGGGTACGGAAAGAATGGGTACAATGCCCTAAAAAATCTTAGGGACTCGCCCTCAAAAAATAAGGGAATCCCGAAGATTGGCATCTTGATAAGGAGGTGCCCAGCATAGGGATAGAGATATGTCCCAGGCTGGTAAAACAGCAAATGTTGTCCCGAACCAACAGCGGCCGCTGTTGGGCAGGCGGCCTCCTGTCTCGAATGGACGCAGGCCGCGGCGGCGCGGACAGCGGGTCCTGTTCAAGATGAACAGGAACTGCTGTTGGGCATCGTACCCATTCTTTCCGTACCCATTTCGGGCGTCCAAATGTCCAGGGGGGACTCCAGCCCCTCGAAGTACGGCTCCCGGAGGCGCGCCGACTGCTCCATGGCCGCCAGGCGCGCGAAGAGCTCCGCGTGCTCCGCGTAGATGTCGTCCCTGACCATGCCCTCGAACCTGGGGGGGCAGCCAGAGGGTGCAGTCAATCCGTATCACAACGAGGCACGGCAATATGTCTCGCCTGCAACCCACCGTAGCCCCTTACCTCGCCCCAAGACCCCGACCCCGTGAGGCGTCTGCTCAATTGGAGCCCCCCATCCGACAATTCTTCACGCTTCGCGCATTCCAACCAGCCCATTCAGAAACCCTGCCTTTCAGAGCTGACGGGAAAACGGACGAAGAGACACAACTAGGGAAACAAAGCGAGCAAGGGGGTGGCCTTGGAAGGCCTCTTCGGGCCATCCCTGGGTGCCGCGTGGGGGCGAGGGGAAGAGGAGGAGGAGAGGAGGAGGAGGAGGAGGAGGAGGAGGAGGAGGAGGAGGAGGAGGACGACGCGGCCGAGGACTCATGGAACCATCTAGAGGCATTCTTACGACTGCTGCTGCTGCTGCTGCTGCTGCTGCTGCTGCTGGGGCTCTCTGGGAGTTGTTTGGGGCCCTCTTGGAACCCTCGTGGTAACCCTGGAAGGTTTCTTGGGATCCTCTTGGAGGCCATCGATTACAAGATTGGGAGGTCCCCAACTCAGTGTCTCCCTTTCAGGAGCCGGCAAACTGCTTCTTGGGGCTTCCTTGGAGTGCTCTTGGAGCGCTCTTGGGGCGGTCTTGGGGCCGTTTGGAGCATCTTGGGAGCCATCTTGAGCCAGCTTTGGCTATCTGAACCATCTTCTAAGTCATATTGGGCTCTCTGAGACCGCTAGGGGACCTCTTGGGGGCCTCTCGGGTGCCTCTTGGGGCCTTCTTAGGACCCTCTTGGGGCTCTCTTGGAGATTTTTTTGGAGCCCTGAAGCGCGTCTTGAGGCCATTTTCGAGGCTATCGATCAAAGGATGGAGGCATCCGAACGGCACCCCCCCTCGGGGGCCACGATCCTCGTGAGGAAACAAAAGTTGGCCCTTCCACGACCCGATCTTGGACGCTCCAGGTCCAGGGGAGGGGAGGGGGCAGGGGGAAAGGTCAAGACACCCTCCAGATAGCAAGCCGTCTAGCTCACTCCCACCCGCCCTCCCAACACATAAGTAACACCCGAGCCTGAACATGTTCCGTGGTTGTCTTTTGATGGACACTCACTGGGAACCAAAACCGAGCCCATGTGCGCGACGCTGGGGCGAGGTGCGCCACGCGTGCCAAGCACGCCTACTGCGCAAGATGCTCCCTCCAACCGGGCCACGTGCGCCACGTCAGGGGCACGTGCAGAATGTGTCAGGTGCGCCTGCGCACATGACAACACATGGCAGCACACACCGGGAAACATGTCAGCCCCCACCGTCCCTGTCGAACACCACCCTCCCCGCCGTCCCTGACAAAAACCACTTGGCAATGATCGCGAGGTGGCCGCGCACTATCCACATTTAGCCGCGAGGTCCATGTTGTATTGTGTGATTGTCAGGGATGGTAGCCCTGCGCGCAGCAGGCAATATGCTGACGCCCCCGCCGTCCCAGTCGAAAGACCATACAAAGGGCCCGCGGGCCTCACGAACATGACTCCAGACTGTTTGCCCCAAACTGTATTGTGTCTTGTTTTTTGATAGGGATGGCGGGATGAGGGCTCGCATCGGGTTGGTTGCGCATGCTCCGAATTTGGAAGCAGAGCAAATTTTGTATACAAAAAGCAAAGATGATGGGGGGGGGCCTTATGGTATGCGCATGGTTCCGGGTCGGCTGCTGGCCAGGTGGGGGAGGGGGTGTTTACTAATACGGAACAGTGATAAGCCCCTCCCCGAAGGGGAAAAAGGTTTTTGAAAGAGGAAAGAACATCCTCGTTTGACCACCTGTTGCCCAGAGGGCTGGTGGGATTTCTCGACCGAGACCCACCTACTCCCACCACCTCGCCCCAGCACCCCCCACCCCACGAGATCGACGTCTGTTCTTGGGCCCCCCACCAGTCAACAATTTTCGCCCGAAACCCACCAGCGCCTCCCACCTCGCCCCAGCACCCCCACCCCACGAGACGTCTGTTCTTGGGACCCCCCACCCGACAATTTCCTGCATGCCCACCAACGCCCTCCCACCTCGCCCCGGCACCCGCACCCCACGAGACGTCTGTTCTCGGGCATCCCCACCCGCAAATATCTTGCACGGAACCTACATGCGCTCCAGACCTCGCGCCGGCACGCCCACCCCACGAGGCGTTTATTCTTGGGGGCCTACACGTTACCACCATTTCTCACGGGAGACCCGCCAACGCCACCCACCTCGCCCTGACCCCCCGCCCCACAAATTCAAACCCAAAACCTACGCGCCCCCACCTCGCCCCGGCACCCCAAACCCACGAGACGCTTGTTTTTAGGCCCCCACCCGACAACTTCTCGCCCGAAATCCACCAACGCCCCCCGCCTCTCCCAGGCACCCCCGCCCCGCGAGAAGTCTCTTCTCGAAACCCCCCGCCCGATGCATTCTCGCCCGAAACCCGCCATGGCCCCCTACCTCGCCCCAGCATCCCCGCCCCACGAGACGTTTCTTTTTGGGTTCCCCACCCGACAAATTCTCGCCCGAAACCCACCAGCGCCCCCCCCCCACACCCGCATAGCTCTGGCCCCCCCCCCCCCCCCGTACGAAACGTCTGTTCTTGGCCCCCCCCACCCGACGATTTCTCGACCGAAAGCCACCGACGCCCCCCATCTCGCCCCAGCACCCCCGCCCCACGAAACGCCTGTTCCCAGGGCCACCTGGGGCCACCCACACAACAATGTCTCGCCCGAAACCCACCGACGCCCCGCACCTCACCCCAGCGCACCCGCCCCACGAGACGTCTGTTCTCGGGCCCACCCATTCGATCATTTCTCGCCCGAAACCCATCGAGGCCTCCCACCTCGCCCCGGCGCCCCCGCGCCGCTCGAGACGTCGGTTCTTGGGCCTCCCCGCCCGAAATTCTCTCGCCCCAAACCCGCCAAGCCCCCCCGCCTCGCCCGGGCGCCGCCGCCCGACGAGACGCCTGCTCCGGGGCTCGGCCGAAAGCCACCGGCGCCCCCGCGCCTCGCCCCGCCACCCCCACCCCACGAGACGTCTGTTCTGAGGGCCTCCCGCCCGACAATTTCTCACTTGTTGACTTGGTTAAACAAAATCCTCCTAGGGAGAGGCACGCCCGACTTGAGGCATGGGAGGCCGTATCAGTACAGTCAACCCGTGTCACAAGGATGCGCGGTGAGGATGCAGGGGCCTTGGAGGCCCATGTGAACGCTCTTCGAATGGGGTGAGTCGCCAAGGATTTGTTCATCATCGGTCCCCTTGGGGCATGACCCGCGGCAAACGTGCCGTCGACGGGGCGCGCCCGATGCAGATGCTCGAGCCCCCAACCGAATCGGAAGCAGCCCGAGGCGCTGCACGGGATGCTGAGGCCGCAGCGCGGCCAGAAAGGAGGCACAGACAGCTGCAGCACCAGTGGCATGCAGTCAGTGTGCACCCAGCCGAAGAGCGGGCTGTGCCACCAGGGCTGCATGGAGAAGTGGCACAGCTCGTGCCTCAACCCGCTGCAAGAATCAGTCGGGGTCGACCGACTCCCAGCCCACCCCTCGCCTCGAGAGGTGCCTCACCCTCCTCGCGAGCCGGTGGCGCACCAGCCCGCCCCACCACAGGCGTCGCCCCGCTCTTACCACCCACTGGCCTTCGCTCGGACGTCCATTCCCTGTTTTTTTAGGTTTCGTGCGTTATCTTTTTGGCCAAATGATCAAGGATGCTCCTCGATGGTCCTCGCCGAAGGAAAAATGCACACGTCCGAGCGATGCCAAGACGCGCAGAGAAGACGCGCAGCGGCCGCCTCCACAGCAAAGACCGCGGAGGGGTCGGCGTGCGCAGAGGGACGGGCGGCGGCAGGCGATGCCCGCATCCCACCCAGGACGTGGCCTTGGGGGGGGGGGGGCAGCCAAACCATCAAACGAACCAGCGCTCAGAGGAGCCTCGGCATCCTCGCGGGCGAAGGGAGCTCCAGAAAATCGCCAATGATGGGCCGAAGGGGCAAGGATGCAAGGTAGTTACCCTCGGGCAGGCTGCCCGTCCTCACTATGTGGGTTGATTGTACTTTTCTGCCTCTGACGAGGGGAGGGGCGAGGACGGAAACCCAGGCCCCCGAGCTCCGGTGGCGAGGGACGGGTGGCGGTGTCGGTGTATGTCCTTCCCTGAGATTGGGGAGGCAGGAGGATACCCGTACCGCCGCGTCGTGGACCCTTCCCGGGACGCGCCCTGACCAAGACTTTGCAGCGAATCCAGTCGTGGCGGCGAGGAGAGGGCCGGGACCTTCGGTGCCTCTTTCCCTGAGATCCGACGTCTCGAACAAAAAATGCAGCATCGCAGAAAATCACGACCAGAGCCCAACATCTCATCTATCTGCGTCATTCCTCAAAACCGGTCGACCTGTGAGGGTCCCAGGGCCCGAGACCGAGCGAACATGAGAACCTGCCCAAGCTCGGCTCCCGCAACTTCGGCTCCACCTCCACGTCGCAGCCGAGCCTCGCCGCGTAGATTTCTGCGGTGTGGCGGGCGCGCCGAAGGTCGGAGCACAACACGCGGCAAGCGCGCGGCGCGGCCGCGCCGTCGTCGCCCCGCAACCGCGAGTAAAGCAACTCCGCGGTCGCCTCTGCCTGCTGGACGCCAGAGGGGGCGAGTTCCGTGTCGGTCTCGCCCTGCCAGCGCTTTGCCAGATCTCGGGTCTTGCCACAGATGGTCCAAGGCCCACGGCTCAGAGGAGGAAGAAGTACCGACACCGTTGCACATCCAGGAGACACCTCATCGCCACGGCTGGATTAGAAATTATGGTGAGAAGTCCGTGGACTAGCGGTCTCGGTGCCTCTTGGCTCCCCCATGACGGAAAGGCCCCAAGCTTTCCGCGACGTGTTGGAGCCCTTGGGGCCCAATAAGCCTCGTGAGGGATGTTCTGGAATCCATCAGGGCTCCCCAAAAATCCCACAGATACCGCGGACGAGGGACACTCTGGCAACACCCGCAGATTCCAAGTTGTCGTGCCGTGGCGGCACAAATATCCGCTGACTCCCGCTTGGTGGGGGCGACGGGTGGCGTGCGAAGTATTCGGCGGTCCCTGAACGGTGTTTTGATGATCGTGGCCGTGCCACCAGGAACGGTAATCGCAACGCCGTCGACACACTTCGAAAAACACTGCGACCCCTTTTTTGTGAGGTTCCTGATTCGCCCAGGAGCCCTTCATTGTAAGATCCCTCGTTCGCTCATTTCATGCAGCTCCACATGAGGGTGGCGGAGATGGAAGCGGGGGCGGCCGCCGCATTTGCAATCCAGGCGACGCTCAAAGCATTACCACACCGCCCTCGAGGCCAGAAAAATAACTCAATGTGTCTCAATGTCCCCCAACTTGTTTCGAATGCTTGCAATACCTCCCAACTCGCCCCCATTCCTGTCCTGGCGGCGCACTCAAGTTTCGCGCCCCCACCGTCGGCGACACCTCCATGTGGATTTGAGGGGCCGTTTGCCAAGGCGGATGACGTCAAGATCGTTGTTGCTTCAGTTGGGGTTGTGGCAACAGTTGGCGCTTGTGCTGGCAATGGGGCAAGCGCCAAACTCAGAATAGGCTGAGACAGGTCGTCTCGGTAGTCGCACGACCATGCGGGGAATATGTCGCTGTACGTTGCTCAACCTGTGTTGCAACGTCCAACTTCCGCTTCCGTGAATGAAACTGTAAAATCGTGCCACTCAGAAGCTGGATCCAATCGCGTAAAAATACTATGTGTCAGTGAGTTCTTGTTCCAACATGTGGAATGTTATACTTGCAACGGCACACCAGTTGTCGATCTCGGCCGATTGTTGCCCGCCCCACATGTTCTGCGTGGCGGTGGGGTGGTAGACCTTCGATGGTCATGCCGCCGATGTGAACATGTGCTGGCTGCCGCTGTCTGCGCGTAGACCCATGCCCATTGTGTCAAGCCTTCGTTTTGCTCGGGCGCAGTTGGAGGCCGACACGGGAGGCGCGCTCGTTCAGGTCAGAAACCATACACACACACACACACACTCAGGCTCGAATGTGATACCAAGAAATGCCACCAACGAAGCGTAGATTTGACAGCGCTTGGTGACCAAGGCGTGTACCGATTTAGCTTCCCCCATGTGATATCAATGTGCGCATCAGGTGTTCAGTCATGCTGTTGACAACCAGATCGCTGCATCGTAGAGCGCTTGCTCGTGCGATCCTGACGGATCGACGCTACTTGGTTGGAAGACAACTTTGCCAACGATCTTATGCATGACCGTTGAGTTCCTTGTTCGGCAAGCGTTGCCCAGATGCTCGCGTGTGCCACGCTGTCGCATGCCTTGTTGAAACTGATCGTCGCCATCCACCGAGGTATCTGCCACTCGCACGCCGCTCCATGCAGAACTCACGGCGTCGACCTTGCAGACGTGCTGCAGCGGACTGTTGCGTGGATTTCTGCCAATGCAAAAAACCCGAAACTGCGAGTGAAGAACGAAGTGACTTTCGCGTGGGCTTGCTTGTCTTCACTCCTGGCCGAACAGCGCGCGAAATTCACCTCGAAATCCGGACCGAAATTCTCCGGGACAATCCGAGCCCATCATGTCGTTTTCCGAACGATATCCGCTCTGCGGTGTTGGCGCCTTGATAACGCAGAAGATGTGACGAATAGGTGGTCCGCGGTGCGTCGTCCCGATCTGAAGCCAGCTTGGTCGACGCTCGGGAGACAATCGAATAATTAAGGCAATGTTTAACACATGAGTATTGAGAATAACCTGTAGAATAACGGGGTGGTGTCAATCGATCCGTAATTATCTGGCAACCCCGTGCCCCCAGTCTTGAACATAGCTTTGATGTCAGTGCGCGGCCATGCCGTAGGCGTAGGAGGTCGTGGTTAAGGGCGCCCAAGACCGCCAGTCGGCTTGATCGTAACTTCTCGCCTCCTTCCTTGATCATCTCGGCCCTGATCCCGCCTGTGTACTTTCGTCATCGGGCACCGTGAGGCCTGAGTGGGGGAGGATGTCTTTCGTGCCATCGCGACAGAGCTGGCTGCAGAACTCGGCAAGTACGTAAGCAACCGCATGTCTGTTGTGGGCCACATGTCCACTAATATTGGTAATGCTGGCGATGAGGTCCTCTTCCTTCAACAGTTTACATGCGCTGATGTGCTTCAAGTTTTTGCGCTGGGTTGGAATATCTTCGATGTTCGCAATCTGTGTTGTCCGTCTGATTGCACGTAGCTCTCGGCGGATCGGTTTTGATATCTGTGTTCGGGATTGCGTGCCGATGGTCGACATATCCCGCCAGCGAACCAGAAATTGTGTACTAAGAGCATTGTGTGGTGCACTGGGTCGAGCTTCGGTGGGCCGTTGGTGCATCACCAGACTGTCGCGCAGATCATGCTTGTCTGCCAACGTCTGTTCGTAATTCGGTATGTCCGCAAATGACCACAGGGCGTCGGTTGTTTCCGCCTCCGGCGCGGCCGTGTCGACTGCCTCGGTTTGACATGAATCCCCAGCGTTACGCTCCATATCGCCGCTGTGCGGCGGTCAGAACCCAGGTCAAACGCAATCGTAGTCCTGCAGTCCCAGGTGGTGGTCCAGAGGCGTCGATTGCATAGTATGTAGTCGCGTTGACTGGGTTTTGCTGGGACCCAACAACGTATGTCGCAGTTGGGGCTGTTGCTTGACGCATGTACTGGCCAGAACCAATGTGTTGGTCGCTGCCCAGTTCTTCAACACTGCTATCCTGCAATTCGTCCAAAGGGGCTCCCCACAATCCGACTGACCGCCTGTCGTCGTCCGCGCTTCGCTCCCAAACCATAGCGTTGCAATCGGCACACAATTCGTACTATACGATATTTTTGTGTATTGCTTCGGCGACGGCTCAGCCACACACATCGCACGTGTTCTGCACGCGTTTGTCTGCGTATCCGCTGTGAGGGAAATGTGCTGTTGCCACTCGTAATGTGAACCCCCTTCTGCGTGTGTCCACGTAGGCGATGGGCTCGTCAACAGGTTTGAAACATAAAAATTGAGACACCCACCGATTGTGCAGAACGATTGCAAGACCTCTGCGTGGCTAGGTATATCCAGATCCCAAGAAAGCATGCCCGTCAGGCATGGTCCACAATTCTTCTGTGATATCGCGCTTCGTTTCGAAAATGGTAACCGTATCCAAATGAAAATCATGAAATTCACATCCCGTGTCTTTTGCCAGCCCTCGTGAGTTGAGAAAGATCGCAATACATTTGTCTGGTGGAAATTGGTCGGCAGCAACCTTCCGAGGGATAATGACTGCACCTGGTCCGTATCCTGTCCAATTCCTCTTCCGAGGACAATTGGATTGGTCGTGATGAGGGTGAAACCAGAGTTAGTGATGCCACTACTGGTGAAACTGCAAGTGGTGAAACTGCGCCTTGTGACACAAGACCGGGATTGGAAGGTATTGTGTCGGAGCCGTAGTCGGGAGCCATGCGAATTCAGCCAGTGGGGGCACCGATGGGGCTCCCTGTGGGGCCACGGCACGTATGCTGGGTGCGCCAGAGTGCGCAGCGCGGACGCGTGCGAACGCAGCGAGTGGGGCCTTCGGAGGAGCTCCCTGCGGGGCCACGGAACGTGCGAGGGGTGGGCCGACACAGAGACATCTGCGGGAGGAGGGGCTGCGAGGGGGGATGCCAGCAGGAGGCGGGGAGTGGCGCGGGGCGCGCTCTCCACCACGCGAGGAGCACACCTTAGCCGTGCCGGAGAGCTGCGGCTGGCCAGAGCCTCGCGGAGATGTCCAGCACCCCCTCGGCGGCGGCCGCGGGGGCCTCGGCGGCGCCCTCCGCTGCCTCGCCCGCCATGGTGCGCCGCGGGCGGGCGGGCGGCGCGAGGGGGCGGCCTGGCCCGAGGGGTCTCCGCCCAGGTGACCCTCGCCCAGATAGGGGGCCACATGCGAACCCTACCTCTACCCCCCACGATTTTTGAGGGGGAGGGGGGGGTTCACTTCGCTCGGGAGCTCCCGAACGAAGTGAACCCCACCCTCCCCCTCAAAAATCGAGGGGGGTAGGGGTAGGGTTCGCATGTGGCCCCCTACAGGTGACCCTCGCCCAGAGCAGCAGCGCCTGGGACGTCTTCGTGGGAAGGCTTTTGCAGCACGACGCCAGGACGAGGCCCAAAGCGGACGAGGACAACCTGGGAATCTCTGAGATCCGGCGGCTCTTGAGGAAGTATCGGGCGCGGCGGCCCCCTCAGAGCGTTCCGGAACGCTCCGAAGGCGTTCCGGAACGGAGTCGTTCTTGTCCCAGCCCCGCCCGACGTGGCCCATAGCAGCAACTTCTGGGACGTCTTCGTGAGAAGGACTTACGGCTATTCAGCCCAATTGCAAGGCAGAGCCCAGACAAACAACTACAATGAAGCTGGACTAAGCGGGAGCTAGCGGAACTGAAGGGGATGATGCTGGATTCGGCCAGTTTTCGACCGAGCGTATACCAGCATCGATGCTACATTGGCCCTCTCCCATAACTTGCCAGCCTCCTCACTGTCAGGGAGAATGGGCCCACAAAGAAAGGAGGTCCAGAAGTGTTCAGCGGGTCTCGGCTTCTTCGGACCCTTCCCTGCGGTGCGGGATGTTGTGCATACCCACAGCCTGGGAGACCGATCTTCCTGGATCTCGGGAGTCAGTGGATATGCGTATATGTAGGCCCTGGGGAGCCAAACTATATCCATATCCACCGCCGGCTGGAAAACTCAGGACATCGGTTCCCCAACAGGTGGATCGGGATAAATCCCCACATCGCAATTCAGGGCCCTGGGACCGTCAGCAAAATATCTCAAGATGCGAAACTGCTGGCCCATCGGACATCCCACGGGTCCACGAACCGCTTCCCTCGGGACCCATTCCCCCTCACGGCAGAAGTATCCTAGCGGAAGACCCAAACATGTGGGGTTGTGAGTACGGCGTGGTGGGCACCGCTTTCGGTGGAGGACCCCATGGGGCCACGAGACGTGTGAGGGATATGCCCGGATCGGCGGGGAACCCCACGCGAACTTTGCCACTGGGGCCTTCGGTGGAGCTCCCAGGGCCACGAAACATGTGACGGTTGTGTCGAAATGTAAATGGGCGGAGAACCGCATGCGAACTTTGCCGCCAGTACCTTCGGTGGATCTCCCAGTGGGGCCGCGAAACGTGTGAGGGGTGTGCCGACATGGGCGGGGAACCGCATGTGGACTTTGCTACTGGGACCTTCGGTGGAGATCCTATGGGGCCGCGAAACTTGTGAAGGGTCTACCGAAATTTGCGGCGACGGCGCATGCGAACGCAGCCACTGAGGCGTACGGTGGAACTCCCTATGGGGCCACGAAATATGTGAGAGGAATGCCGAAGTGGGCGGGGAACCGCATGTGAACTTTGCCTGTGTGGGATGTGCCGGCCTGGGCAGGAACCGCGCGTGGACTTGGCTACTGGGACCTTCGGTGGAACTCCGTATGGGGCCATGAAACGTGTGAACGGTGTGCGGAAATTTGCGGCGAGGACGCATGCGAACGCAGCCACAGGGCCTTCGGCGGAGCTCTCTACGGGGCCGCGAAACGTGTGAGGGCTGTACCGAAATTTGCGGCGAGGACGCATGCGAACGCAGCCACTAGGGCCTTCGGTGGAGCTTCTTCTGGGACCACGACACATGTGAGAGGTGTGCCGACATGGGCGGGGAACCGCATGTGGACTTTGCCACTGGGACCTCCGGTGGAGCTCTCTACGGGGGCCGCGAAACGTGTAATGGGTCTGCCGAAATGGGCGGCGCGGGCGCAGACGCATGCGAACGCAGCTACCGGGGCCTTCGGCGGGGCTCCCCATGGAGCCGCGGAGCGTGCAAGGGGTGTGCCAAGCAGGTTGAACTCGGACCTTCGGAGATCCAGCCCAAGCCTCTGATGTCTCGATTTTTTTCCAACAACGGGCATCCTGGAGATCTGGACCGCTTCCCAGGGACCGCTTTGTCGTTCCAGATCGTGGTTTGACGGCCGCGAGGCCTGGCGAGGGCCCCCAGAACGCCGCAAACGGCGAAACCTCTCGATTGCGTTTTTGTCCCATGCATCGGAAGTCTGGCCTGAAAAGTCCGCGTCGCCGTGAGATCTGGGAATACGCAGGGACCGACCTTCCAAGCCTTCCTACAGGCCTATCACGACATATTCTTCGAAGAAACGAATGTTCAAATGGCAAAAGCCATGTTATTAGAACACACGTCCGATTGAGTATAACAAAGCGGCTAAAATCGGAAAGAACATTCCGAGCAAAAAACCATTATGCCATTCATCGGTGGGCCTATCGCAGAGGCCTCCCAAGCGGGGTCCGGATGGCTGGGGTCGGAGGATCGCGCCGAATCCCCCATTGCATCGGCGACGTCGGCGATGCGTCGGCGCCGCAGGGCGTGGAGAAACTCTGGCTCCACATCGAGCCGCATCGCACCTGCAGTGGCGGTGCGGCGGAACCCTCCGACCCCGTCTGCTCGGACCCCACCCCGGGAGGCCCCCGGCCCCTCTGCCGCTGCACTCGCTGCGTGTGAGGGTTATCGTTATGCGTACACCGCTGTTGAGAAGGAGCCCGAGAGGCACCGATACAGCTGCTCCCTGGACCCCTCCGGGGCTGCGCTCCGAGCCCCGGAGAGAGCCCCAATTGGGTACCGGTATACAGCTGCTCCCTGGACCCCTCCGGGGCTGCGCTCCGACCAGGAGTTCCGGGCACGAATCCAGCGGCGGCGACGCGGGCCGCCCGGGGGGCGAGCAGGAGAGGCAACACGGGGGACGGGCAGGAGAGGCATCGCGTGCCTTTCCTTGTGGCTGCCATGGCAATAGACACTCGAACAGTCCTGTCATTGAATGAAGAAAAAAATGTGTTTATTAAAGCGCTTCCTCTCCATGAATCGACGTCCACAAGCCTCTCCCTCCTCCGAGTCGTCGCTTGCCGCCGGCCGCTCCGCCGCTGCTCGACGGGGGCCGTCCGCGGCCCCGCCGCCCCGCGCGGGCCGCGGAGGGGCGACGCGGGCGGGGCGCCGCCTGGACGCCGCCCGCGGCGGGCGCGGCCAGCAGGCACGCCGCCGCCGCCTGCCAGGGGGGGGGGGGGAGCGGGTGGGCCCCCGAGGGCCCGGCGACCCTCGGGGGGGCGGGGTCCAGGGAGGGGGGGCGTCCAGGGAGGGGGGGCGGTCGCAGCTCCTGGCCAGGGGCACGTGCGCGGAGGATGGGGGGGGGCAGGGGACGTAGAGTCGGCCCGCCCCTGACGGATGCGCGGATAACTGAGGAACTAAACTCTATGCACCGACGCTTTTGCTCACCCTGCACTGGCCCTTGCACAGGACAGCGGATCCTGGTGTGTACGAAACCCTGGTGTACACATGTTTCGTTGCTTCCCCGGGAAGCGGGAAAAACAAATATACACCACACCACCTCGACGTCGCCCCCGACCTTAAAAAAAGCAGGGGATTGGAAAACAGCCCGCCACTGGTAATGCATCTGCCCCAGATTCCAACATGGGGGCTTGAAGACTTTCCAAGAAGCGGGGCGTTCGCAACTCCTGGTCAGGGACACGTGCGCGGACGAACGATGGGGCGGGGCCAGGGGACGCAGTCGGCACGTATCAGAAGAATGCGCGGATAGGGGAACAAACTCTGTACACCGACGCTTTTGCTCGCTATGCACTGACCCTTTCACAAAAAAACGATCCGAATGTATACCGGGACCCTTGTGTACACATGTTGCGTTGCTTCCCTGGGAATCGTGAAAAACAAACGTACACCACACCGCCCCGACGTCGTCCACAACCCTAAACACATCCGGGTATTGGAAAACCGCCCGCCACTGGTAATGTAGATGCTGCCATTTTCCGACATGGGGGCTTGACGACTTTCAGGAGCGTCCAAGGAGGGGAGGTGTCCAGGGAGGGGGGGCGTTCGCAGCTCCTGGCCAGGGACACGTGCGCGGACGATGGGGAGGGGCCAGGGGACGTTCAGTCAGCGCATCTCGTGAGGATGCGCGGTTCGGATGCAAGGGCCTTGGAGGCACATGTGAGCGTTGTTCGAACGAGTCTGGCCAGTGGACTTTTGGGCGGGAAAAAAAACTAGTCACGACGTATTCGAACATATTCAAACATGCCCAACAAATCGTCCCCATGCGGTTTTTGTTTGACTGTTCTGGAGTATTTCTCATGTAGAGGGACAGGCCCGACTTAAGGCAAGGGTGCAAGGGTGCCCTTGGGAAGGCTGCCCGTCCTTCCTATGCGGGCCGACTGTGGGGACCACTCCCCGCCGTGGGACCCGCGACATCTGGAGAAATATCATGGCCCCCGCCGTGGGGTCCGGTCCCCACTGCCTCCTTCCCCGCCCCCCCTCTTGGTCGCCTTCGAGACGTGTCGCCAATCGGCTTCTGTGGGCCAAACCTCCGTCTTGATTACCTAACAGCGAAGACTGATACTCCAGATTTTGTAATAAAGGGAGGGGGGTCTCATTTCAGGGGGGGGTCTCTTCCAGGCTATCTTCATGGAGGGCCTGGGGGGTCTGGGGACGATGTTCTGGAGGGTTCTCCCAGGGGGGGGGGGTCTAAAACTTTTCGTCTGGGAGGGTCCAGACCCCCTCCCTTTTATTATGAAGTCTGGAGTACCTAACAGCGAAGACTGACTTCTGGTGGGGTCAAAAGAAAGCATCACGACTCCCGGCCCACGGGAACTCCCCGCTTTCACTGCCGGGAGCCACATTTTGATGACTGCCCGGAGCCAACAGAACACCATTCCCAGGCCACATCTTGAATGCCCGGAGACAACTGTAGGCCACTTCGTGTCCTTCGTGCTCCCAGAACACCACTCCCAGGCCACATTTTGAGTGCCCGGAACCAACTGTGGGCCACTTCGTGTTCTTCGTCTTTCCAGAATACCATTCCCAGGCCACATTTTGATTGCCCAGAGCCAACTGTGGGCCACTTCGTGTTCTTCGTCTTTCCAGAACACCATTCCCAGCCATTCCCGGGCCACAGCTTGAATGCCCGGAGCCAACTGGAAGCCATTTCGTGTCCTTCGTCTTTCCAGAACACCATTCCCAGGCCACATTTTGATTGCCCGGAGACAACTGTGGGCCACTTCGTGTTCTTCGTCTTCCCAGAACACCATTCCCAGGCCACATTTTGATTGCCCTGAGCCAACTGGGGGGCCACTTCGTGTTCTTCGTCTTTCCAGAACACCAGTCCTGTGCCATATTTTGAATGCCCGAGCTGAGGCAGGCTGAGGCCGAGGCAGGCTGAGGCTGAGGCAGGCTGAGGCTGAGGCTGAGGCACGCCGAGGCAGGCTGAGGCTGAGGCAGGCTGAGGCTGAGGCATGCTGAGGCTGAGGCTGACGCGGGCTGAGGCCGAGGCAGGCTGAGGCTGAGGCTGAGGCAGGCTGAGGCTGAGGCTGAGGCCGAGGCAGGCTGAGGCTGAGGCCGAGGCAAGCCGAGGCAGGCTGAGGCTGAGGCTGAGGCTGATGCTGAGGCAGGCTGAGGCTGAGGGCTGAGGCTGAGGCTGAGGCAGGCTGAGGCTGAGGCCGAGGCAGGCTCAGGCCGAGACAGGCTGAGGCTGAGACTGAGGCTGAGGCTGAGGATGAGGCCGAGGCAGGCCGAAGCTGAGACAAGGTGAGGCTGAATGGGGGGGGGGGAAGGGGGGGGGGAGGAGGGGAGGCTGAGGCAGGCTGAGGCCGAGGCAGGCTGAGGCCGAGGCAGGCTGAGGCTGAGGCTGAGGCAAGCCGAGGCAGGCTGAGGCTGAGGCTGAGGCTGAGGCAGGCTGAGGCTGAGGCATGCTGAGGCTGAGGCTGACGCGGGCTGAGGCCGAGGCAGGCTGAGGCCGAGGCAGGCTTAGGCTGAGGCCGAGGCAAGCCGAGGCAGGCTGAGGCTGAGGCTGAGGCTGATGCTGAGGCAGGCTGAGGCTGAGGCTGAGGCTGAGGCTGAGGCTGAGGCTGAGGCTGAGGCTGAGGCAGGCTGAGGCTGAGGCCGAGGCAGGCTGAGGCTGAGGCTGAGGCAAGCCGAGGCAGGCTGAGGGTGAGGCTGAAACAGAGGCAGGTTGAGGCATCCGTAGGAATCCATAGGAATCCTTGGGAATCCCTAGGAATCCTTAGGAATCCGTAGGCATCCTTAGGAATCCGTAGGCATAGTTAAGCATCCTCAGGAATCCTTAGAATTCCATTGGATCCTAAGGCCGTTGCCACTGCGACGGTCATTGCGAACGCGACTGCGACTGCGAGAACAGCAGAATTCTACAGCTGGATTCTCACCTGAATCTTGAGGGGAATGCTTCCAGATATGCCTATACACGTCGCTGTCAGGTCGCTTTGCCGGGATAATTTGTTCAATGCGTTGGAGGTCTGGGCTGCCCGTCCTTACTGTGCGGGCTGACTGTGGGGACCACTCCCCGCCGTGGCACCCACGACATCTGGAGAAATATCATGGCCCCCGCCGTGGGGTCCGGTCCCCACTGCCTCCTTCCCCGCCCCCCCTCTTGGTCGCCTTCGAGACGTGTCGCCAATCGGCTTCTGGGGGCCAAACCTCCGTCTCGATTTTTTCAATGCGTTGGAGGTCTGGGCTTGCCGCCGCCCACGAGACGACGGGCGGAGCGCCTGCTCCCAGGGGCCCGCCGCGCGCCCGCGCAGCGCCTGCCCAGCGGGGCCGCCGGCCTGCCGGGTGCCGAGCCCCCCCCCCCCTTCACGCCGTGTGCCAGCGGGCAGGGAGGGGGCACAGGTTGCGAGACGCGTCGTCGGCTCGTGTGTGTGTGTGTGTGTGAACCCAGGCATGATCGCGTCGTTGTGTGTGTGTGTTGTGTTGTTTTGTGTGTGTTTGGTTGTTTGTTTGTTTGTTTGTTTGTTTGTTTGTTCATGTATATCGATATATGCGTATGTATACACACATCTGCAAACATACACACACATACATATACATATAGAGAGATATGTATTTAATATATATATATATACATATGTGTGTATATATATGTGTATATATATATAGGTATATATATACATAACGGACAGGAGGTTATTGGCAAGTTTCGGCCTCGGGGGGCCCTCGCTGGGCCTCGGGAGCGTCAAACAACGACTCAGGATGAAACACCGGTCCCAGGAAAGGTTCGGGATTTCCAGGGACCCCGTACTGAACAAATCAGGACGTCGCATGTCTGGGTCGTCGGCTCGGGTGGGTGTGACAGGGGGGGCGCTCAAAGGGGGCGTGGAGGAAGGGGCCCTCAGAGGGGCCCTTCTGGACCCCTACGCGCTGGCTCCAGAAGGAGCCCCAAAGAGGGGCCCCTTTAGGGCCCCTCTTCATCCTCCATGCAGGCTCCCGACCCCCCCTCCCCGACCGTAACACCGCCCGGTCCTCCTCAACATTGGGGACGCTCGAGGCCCTGGGGGGCTCTCCGTGCCTCGGCCGGGGTCGCGTCGGAGTCGTGCTCAGAAGTACGAAGTCAGGGCGAGGTCTCGAGCAGGGATGAACCTAGGCAGCGGTCTTCGTTTTCGTATCGTTCTCGCTTTCCCTTGTTCTGTCCTCGATCTGCCTTTGCTGCAGAACGAGATCGGAACGAAAACGGCCTACGAAATCGCCCAAGAAAGCGTTTAGGTCCCCTGGTTTGGCGGCGAGCACGGGGGGGAAGCGAGAAGGGGCGGGCCTTCTCAGAAAGCTCGGACGTCCCCGGGACTTCTGAGCAGCTTTCTGAGCCTTCCCCGAAGACGCAGAAACAACCTCTCAGACGGCGCGAGGGCTTCTGACACGCCCCGCCGCCTTCTGAGAAGGCCTTTTTCTTCTTCTTCTCATCTCACCCCCTCGCTCGTCGCCGACTCTTGGCGGCGCGCATTACGGGGTGGGGGGAGGGGGGAAGGCTTCTTAGAAACACCCTGCTTCTTAGAAGGCCTCGGCCTTACACCTAAAGATAAGGACAGCGCCTTCTAAGAAGCAAGGGTGTTTCTAAGAAGCCCTCCCCCCCCCCCCCCCACCCCCCTCGCTCGTCGCCGAGTCCAGGTCCACCCCTGGTCTCGAGGGCTCGGTCCTTGAGGGCCGACGTGTCGAACAGCAGCCCTCGTGCTACCAGGAGGGAGTGCCGAGCAGGGACCGAAGGGGGCCTCTCTCCGGCCCACGGCGACCCTCGGCCACGACGAAGGCTCTCCTCCTCCTCCTGCTCCTCCTCATTTTCCTCCTCCTCCTCCTCCTCCTCCTCCTCCTCCTCCTCCTCCTCCTCCTCCCCCTCTTCCTCCTCCGCCCTCCGCCTCCGCCTCCTCCTCCTCCTCTTCCTCCTCCTCCTACCCACCAATTGTGGCTGTAAGGGCGTTCCTCTTCTTCCTCCTCCTCCTCCTCCTCCTCCTCCTCTTCCTTCTCCCCGATGAAGATGGCCAGGCAATCTCGAGGCAACAACGCAGCAGAAGTCAGAACACCTGTTGCTCCATCAGCGCACGGGCGTTTGTTAAGAAACTGCCGCTCGTTGGGGCCAGCGGCTGGTGGGCAATGGAGGAAGCAAGCACGAGCGGAGACAGGAAGCAACACATTGGGGGAGGAGAAGGACGACACTCATACTACACCATCCAGCGATGTGACGGTTAGGTCGGGCGTGTCCTCCTACAGACGGATTTTGGAAGAAACACAAAAATCAACTAAACACCCAAACATGCGTGGACCCCGACTCGGCCTCTAGGGTACCCCAGGAGCCTCAACAGGCCAAACCTGGGCCTCTCGGGCCCCGCCTTTCTCCTGGGTTGGAAAGGCGCGCTTGAGCACATACAGCGTCGGATGCAACATGTAGCTTGCACCATTTACACCCTTATCTGTCTCTGACATCGGGGGCTGGAGACACGCACACCTCCTCGCTACGGTCCCTTCGGACCACAGCGCGCCCCATCGACGGCCCTTTGGCCAACTCCGCCGAAGGGACTCTCTCTCTCTCTCTCTCCCTCTCCCAGCTGTGCGCACAACCTCGATCACAGCATCTCCAGCGCTATGATCCTCACCCGTGCTCGCCTCTCTCTCCGCGGGGGCCCGCCCGAGCTGGTTTCGCTCAAGCATCGAAAGAGAACCATGGACCCCCTCGGGTCAATACTCAATCAGCTGGGGAGCCTGACCGGTCCTGAGCTGGCAACTTGCATGGGCGGCCTGAGGACTCACTCACTCAGCCGCATACCTTGCAGCACTCGAGCTGCTCCACCTCCCTCGCGGTCGACAAGACGCCGCATGCGCGAGTGGAGCCGAACTTCTCGCCGAACCTCAGCGCCACGTAGACGCCTTCCCTGCGCTTCGCGGTGCTGGTTGCCGACCCGATGCTGCTCGGACCTGGCACTGTACTGTCGTCGACCACCTTGTCCGTCTGGGAACTCTGGTCCTTCTTCTCAATCACCTTCTTGCCCCAAAGCTTCATGATGAGCCAGCAGAGGGCGACGAGCAAGAACGCCATCAAGACAGGATCGACCCCCCTTCCCACAGCCTCCTTCACGACCGCCGCCTCGGCCGTCTCGGACAGGAGCATCAGCGCCGTCGCTGCCGCCAGCGCGCTCGCGCCGTGCCTTGCCGAAGGCACGCTCAGCGGTAGAGCACTGACCACCGGGGCCCATTGCCTCTCGGGGTCAAGCAACTTGGTGAGCAGTGAGCAGGTCCCCCCTGTTCACCTCCGTATTGATCTTGGTCGGCTGAACCTCACCGACCTCGTCTTCTCCTGGATCCAAAGCTGCTTGGCTTCCAAGTGTCTCACTCGGCCAGCGCCATGGCGGTGGGTGATGCCAACGCCGCTGCCGAGTCACTCCCGGCCTTCACCGCGAGGTTCTGCACCCCCGTCTCCCACGGCACACGCTTGAGGAACAGCCCTCGTGCAGCCCCGTTCACCAGCTCGCGCAGCTCAGCCTCGCCCGACGAGCGGGCCATATTCTGATGCTGCCCGCAAAAGCTGTCCAACAAGTGCTTGCCCCAGAACACTAGCCCACCTCCAGTGGACCTCCGGGTCCTTGGGCGCTGCGCCCAATCGGATTCCACCTCGACGCGCAGCTCCCGCGGGGTCTCCTGGTGAACGAAGCCCCACTGCAGCTCCTTGCGCGCCTTGAGGTGCCTCCCCAGGCGCTTTAGCTAGAGTCTCTGCAGAACCGCCGGCTCCTCCAGCGCCCTCATCAGCACCCCCATCGTGCACTGGATGTCTGGGCGAGCAGCTGCCGCGCAGTGCGCCAGCGGGGCGAGACTCCGGTGCTCGCTCCGCTCTTGGTCGCCGAGGAGGTCCGCCACATCCTTCCGACTCCTGCCCACGCGCGTGCTCCCCGGGCTGAAGAGTCGGCTGGGGGCGCCCCTCTCGGCCCTGTTGTTGTACGCGATGACCTTCTCGATGTGCACCGTGTCGGAGAGCCAGTGGAACCCGTCGTCAGCCCACCGTGATCGGCCCCTCCAACAGCTGGCGGGCCGACTCGAGGCCCGCGCTTGATCGCGAAGGACTGTTCCAGGACTCCGTCGGGCCAGTCTAGCTCCGCCTGCTCGCCTCCAGCGCAGAAGCTATCTCCGTGGACTGCGACCACGATCGCCCGACGCACGTGATGGAACGTCTGAGCTGCCACTGTGTCTCTTGAAACCTGACCTCGCGAGCGCGTCAATGACATGATACTGGAACTTCAGCGCTGCTCGTCTCGTGCCATAGATCGCCTTCTGCAGCTGCCGCGCATACTGAGGATCCTCTCCCTCCGACTCGGGTGGGTCCACCCACGTGTCCTCCTCGAGCAGCGCGTGGTGGGCAACGACTGACACGTCGCACAGCGCGACCAGCCTCCTCCGAGCTCCCCCGGCCAGCGTGGCCGCAAAGCTGACGACCAGCCTCGCGCAGGGCAGGCTGGGCGTTCCGGCGAAGCAGTCGCTCCTAGCCCCCCCTTCCACCTGCAAGGCCACGAGGCGGGCGCGCGCGAACATCGCGCCGTTGTCATCGTGGCGCTCGTCGCGCAGACACTGGGCACCGACGCGCTTGCCGCGAGCCTCGGTCCGCAGCACGCGCTCGCACACGCCGAACTCTTGCGTGAGCCCCCATTTCTCGCTGGCCCCCTGCCTCCACAGGAGCAGGGTCCAGCAAGATGCCTGACCTAGCCGCGTGGACTGGTGCGCCCATGTTGACCTCGGCAACCACTGTGACCATGGCGACGAACACACCCTGCACCAGGTTCACGGCAAGGCCTCCGACGGGCCGAAGCTCCTCGGACTCGGAGTCGCCCAACGTGCCGCGGATCTGTCCTCGTGCTTGGCCACGGCGGCCGCCGACCTGCATCGGCCTGTCGGGGCTCGAGGCATCCTGACGTCCTGGACGGTTCCAGTCTCTGCGCCGCGCGGGTTGCGCCGCTTGCCATCCACCGCCATCGGCCTGCCAACGTCTCGCAGTTCCTGACCGTCAACGGGCGCCGCCTGCGGCGGCTCTGCCAGGGGCGCTTCCCCAGGAGGGGCGGCCGCTGCAGCCGCGGGGCCTGCGCTGGCCTCCTGGGCCGGCGCGGGCGCTGCCTCCTCGGGGGCCTGCGCGCCTGCTGGCTGCTCTGCCTCTCCTCGGCGAGCGCCTCCTCGAGCCTATTCCGGCACTCGCGGGCATGCAGGCCTCCTCTGCCATTGCAGGCCCTGCAGCCAGCCGCCCTGCCAAACCTGCCCAGCACCGGCTTCGCGAGGTAGGTGCTCCCCGGGGCCGCCCGTTTCAGCGCGAGGTTGGTCGCAGGGCCCCACGGCGCGCAGACGATCTGGGCCAGCAACCTTCCTGGCCATCTTGCGTCCTCTGGCCGTCTGGCCACGGACCGCGCGAGCTGCCTGCCGTTCGGCGCGCCGATGATGCGCTCGGCCGTGGATGCGACCTTCCCCAGCCAGACGCCCTTTTCCCACTGGGTCCTGAACTTCCCCTTGTGCTGGCGCATCTTGTGGAAGAGGACGGTCTCGCAGATCTCCGCGATTATTCCCCTGTCGGGCCTGCCCCGAAGCCTTCGTTAAGGGGCTGGCCCGTCCGAACCCGCCGCGAGGCGTGTGAGCGTCCAGCCGCAGTGCCTAACGTGGTCGGGGTCCAAAGTGAGCCTGTACTTCCGCTCGACTGCGCTGATTGTCGCGCGCGGCAAGTCCTCGACCCGACCGACGGCGTTCTCAATGGGGCCCTTCAACTGAAAGTCGCACCGAGGCGCCGAGGAGCACGCCGCCTCGTCTGTCCGCTCCGGATCGATCGCCGTGAGCAGCGCCCTGATAGCAAGCTCACCGTCATTGGCGTCCACCACGCGATCGCCGCCGCCGTCTTCGCTGGAACTCTGCTGGGCCCTTCTCGGCGACGGGCAGTGCTTCGATCGCTCCCGAGTCCTCCTCGAGCACCGCCAGGATCGCCACCCGTTTGGACACCTCGCGCCTGGTGGACGGGAAACAGTAATCCAATAAACACTCGCGGGAGTGAACAGGGCCTCTCGAACTGTCCTCCGAGGATGCGGGGCTTTCCGTCCTCTGCCCGCCACGCAGTCCATGCGCCAGCTCCTGCGCGGCGCGCGGGTCAGCCGACGCGTGAAACGCTCGGCCACGGGCGGCATGATCGGGATCCCGCGCGCGCGGGCCCGCCGCGCCTCCTCCGAGATCGCACAGGGCCCCATTCGTGCCACCCACGAGGTCGTCGGCGCCCATCTCGGCCCGTGCCCCCGGCGCTGCCCGCAGTGGCGCTCCCTCGTCCTGTGGCTGCGATGCCGCTGTCGCTGCCTCGCCCGTTCCTGGCCCTAGTGAGGGCGAGCTCGCTGCAATTGCTGCCGAGCCGACTCCTGGCCCTGCCGAGGACGAGCTTGCCCCTGGACCCAGCTGCTCTGGGTCTCTTGCCACCGCGGACAGGGGCCTGCCCTCCAGCGCGGTCTGCGCGGCCGAGATGACCTCCATGCCACTCGTCATGTCGGGCCTCTCCACCGTCAGCCAGAACGCGCGGTCGCGCCTGCGGATGGGAATGGCCTGGCCCCTCGGGCCCCGCATGAAGCTGCAGTCCTGCTCTAGGTGAACCCGAGACCCGCGCCCAGGAAAGCACGCGCGCTCACGATCGGCTCGTGGGCGCTTCCAACGTGGAAGTCGAAGCCGGACGGCTACCCCTCAATGAGCCACGCACGCAACGCCTGCCTCGGGGTCGACCGGGGCCCCAGTAGCTGCCTCGCGCATTGGCTCTTTTTCCTCTCGGCGCGTCGACCTCGGTGTCCTGCGCGAAGCTGCTTGGGCGGGCCGTGTCCCCCGGGCCCGTGTCGAACAGCGCCCGGGCCACGTCGCTCTCGTCCGAGATCTCCGCCAAAGCCTGGAAGACGCGGGCGGCTAAGTCGCGCTGGCTCCCATCGACCATCGCCGCGGGCAAATCGCCGTCGCGCTCCTGGCTCTCCTCGCCGTCGACGCTGGTCGCCTCCAGGAGCATGCGCGCGCCGTGCTCGTCATCCGCGTCGGGCCACGCGTCCGCGCTGGCTGCAATCAGCGTCGCAGATTGCTGCTGCTGTAATATGGGCAGCGCTGCTGCTGCTGCCTGCCTGCTGGGCTGCCAGCTGAGCGCGCGCCGCTGCCATCTGCTGCGACTGCAGACTGGCAGCGGTCGCTGGCTGCTGGCAGGGCGCCGCGGGCCGCTGGCCCTGCGGCTGTTGCTGCTGCTCGAGGACCGCGATCCTCGCGCGCCGCTCTCCCCGCGGCTCCTTGGGTCCCTTGCCGCCGTCGCCTCCTTTGCCTGCAGTCTTCTCGTTGGCGAGCCGCTCGCGGCAGTTGCGTGCGATGCGGTCCCTGTGTTCGCAGTAGAAGCACGCATTGTCGATATCGTTGGTCGCGTTGCCTTTGCCTTTCGGGTCCTAACCCTTGCCTTTGGTGTCTTCGCCTTTGCCTTTGCCTTTTTTTCATATGCCTCCTTTGCTGAAGGTAGCATATACCTCACTCGGGTCGCCAGCTTCCGTCGCCTGCCATGTTCTGCTCGCGCTGATGTACATCCCGACTGAGTCCAGGTCCTTCGTGTATGTGTTTAGCGTCGAGCCGTTCAGGGCTAGGTGCTGGCCGACCGTCTGGTTCTCTACGCCACTGGGGACCGTCGCCGCTAGGATCTCACCTGGGATCTCCCTGCCCGACAGGTCTGTGTACTGTTTGACCATTCTCTCGAAATTGTCAAGGCTCTCGCTGAAAGGGTCGGGCAGCCTCGCGCGCAACAGGGCCGGCAACATCGCCCGGAACCACATCCTTTGCTTCGGTTCGCACTCATACACCAACGGCCGCCAGACTTCTGAGCCGTGTCCGACTGGAGCGTCCTTGGCATGCTTCAGCGCTGCGCCCATCACGAGCATCACCAGCACGTAATAGGGGCTGCCCATTCGCCTGGGTTTGCTCTGCGTCAAGGTCCTCCTTTTGCGAGCTCCATCGGCTCGGGACCCTTCGCCTCCGCGGCCGTCAGCAGCTTTGTGATGGCCATGCTCACCGCCGCTGCGTAGGCTCTGAACGTGAAGCTCCAGTCCGACCACTCCGCTTGGGCTCCATCGAATACTCCTGGTTGCTTGACAAGCCTGGTGTCGACTCCGCTCGCTTGGACCGCCGCCGCCGCTGGTTTCTGCGGTGGTACCTGCTGCGCCAACCCCTCAGTCTCCAGGAGGCGGCGGTTCAGCTCCTCACTCTGTCGCAGCAGCTGCTCCACCTGCTGCTGCACCGCCTCCATGGCCGCTGCGGAATCTGTCTGCTTTGTAGCAGGTCCGTGGAGCCAACTGAGGCTCCGCTACCATGCGCGGGCCCCGAGTCGGCCTCTAGGGTCCCTTAGGAGCCTCAAGAGCCCAAACCTGGGCCTCTCGGGCCCCGCCTGTCTCCTGGGCCGGCAAGGCGCGCCTGAGCACATACAGCGTCGGATGCAACATGTAGCTTGCACCATATGCTTTCCGAAATTTCTCTGATATCGGGGACTGGAGACACGCAACACATCGTCAAAAAACATTAGAGAAATCGTCCCCATACTATTTTTGACTATTCTCGAATATTCCTCCTGTGGAGGGACATGCCCGACTTAATGTAGCACTCCTTCGCTTCCCTCCCGGCATTCACCGAGCCCCGGGAGCCCGAGCCCCTCCCCGAGCCCGCCGCGGTCCTCGCCTCAGCGGCCTGCCTGCGTCATGGGGCCTCGAGCCCGCTTCCCTATTCGCGGCGATGCCGGGCATCATGGACGGGGGCCAGGGGGGGGGGCACGGGGAAAGAGGGCCAGAACGGGCGTCATGGCCCAGGCAGCACAGAAACGCCCTGCCCGCGCGCTCCTCTCCTGGGCCCGCCGCGGGTGCGACGGGGGCCTCCGGGGCGGCAGCGTGCGCGGAGGGCCCCCGGCGGGGCCCTCCGCACCCGCTGCGCCGCCCGCGGCGGCCGAGGGGGCGGCACGGGAGGGGCGGCAGCCACGGGCAGGCGCCTCCCACACCTCTCGACGACCTGCCAGGCCACCCCAGCCCAACCCGAAGACCCGAATTTGACCCGACTTTCAAATTGGGGGGGGTACGGGTTCCATGTGTCTTTTCAAGATGTTCCCCGACCCCCCCCCCCACTGGAGATCGGGGGGGAAATGGAGGCCTTCGGGTTGGGTTGGGGTCGTTTGGTGGGTGGCGACCTCTGGCACCACCTCGTGCAGTCAGCCCGTACAGTCAGGGTGCGCGGTGCCTGTCGGCCCGTGCCAGAAGGAGGCGCGGTAAGGATGCCAGGGCCTCGGAAGGCCGTTTCGGAGCTTGTCAAGCGAGGCGCGGACAACAAACGTGGCCGACGATGGACCGAGGAGGCAAGGATGCAAGGCTACCCTTGAGAAGGGCCCATCCCCACCATGCGGGTTGACTGTAATGAAGGGCGCAAGGGCCTCGGCCCCCCTGGTTGAAAGCTTTTCGAGCGGGGCGCGGCCAACGGAATTGGCCAAGGAGGCACCGAGGAGGCGAGGATGCAAGGGTACCCCTGGGAAGCTTGTTCGTTCAGGAGCCTCCGACACCTCCAGCATCACCTCAGACCTCACCCTTCTCAAACGAAATCAGGAAGGCGACAAGGTCGTGCGTGCTGCCAACGGGCACGAACGCATCGAACTACCATGGACCTTCCACTTCTTACCGTGATTCCACGTCTTCTCATGCCACCTCTTCCAAAGCGGCCCTGAAGACTATGCCGTGGGTTTTTTTGAGTGGCTGGCTTGGCCACCGGTATCATTGCACCGACCTTGCAGACGTGCTGCAGTGGATTTGTTGCGTGGACTTCTGTCAATGCAGAACCCCGAAACGGCGAGCGATAAAACGACGTGAATTTCACGTGGATGATTCGCAGTTTTCATCCCTGGCCCAAAACCAAGAAACCCGCACGAAGCCCACTTCGAAGTCTGGAACGAAATTCTCCGGGACACTCTGGGCCCATCCTTCTGTTTTCCGTGCGAAGTCCGCTCTGCGATGTGTTGGCCCCATGGCCGATACCAAAAGGCCCCCTGGCCATCGCTCGGACGTCCATTCCCTTTGCTTTTTTCGGTTTCGTGCGTGGCTTTTTCGCCAAACGATCTAGGATGCTCCTAGATGGCCCTCGCCGAAGGAAAAACGCACACGTCCGAGCGATACCAAAAGGAACCCCGGAGGCTACGTCGCGGGCTCTCGGGGGCGCTGCTCGGGCCACCGCTGCCCGCCGCATGCGCCCGCCAACACGGCGCCCTGCTTCCTCGGGGGCAGCCAGGCCCCGGCCTCCACAAGTCACCCAAAGCTGCAGTCGGGGCGTTGGCCCAAGGAACCCTAAACAAGGAACGAGGCCCCCTTTTTCCACAAGTGAAACGTCGATTTCCGATGGAGAACAGGAGGAACACCTGAGGCAAGCTGCGAAACACTTCAGGAACGCGGAGCCCCTCCCCAACCAAAAGGGTTCCTTCCTCAGGGCCCCGACTGTATGAGTCCACCAGTGCCGTCGAGATGGTACACGCCTCTCCCGGTGGCGACGATAGGGGGCGAAGAGCCCAGGCGAAAGCGCGATACATGTATCCAGGGAAGCCGCTGGGCCATGCCTTCGGAGAGCAACGCATGTATCCAGGGGCGCCGATGGTCCATGCCATTCGGCGAGGCTCCCGGGCGAATGCGTGTACCGCCCGCCCCTGGGGTACAGTTGGGGCCCGACCACAAGAAACCTCCCACAAGAGACCCAACCCCGAGACCCCTGGACGCCCATGGATGTTTGGCGTGGGAACGTCACGCTTTCCATCGCAAGCCATCGAAGCCCAAGAGACCCAGGGCACTCTGGAGGCGATCAAGGCGTTACTTGGCATGGGCCACCAATGTAACCCTGTCCGGGCGATAATAATACCCGGGAGATTATAAAAGTTCCCGTGGATTATCAAGTTCGGCCTCAGCGCCCTTCTCCACAATTCAATCCCGTTGAACGGGAACAATAAAAATAGAGGGGGTGAAGGGGGGGGTAGGCTTCTTTATCGCCCGCACGGGGTCATTCGCCCAAGTCGTCGCCTCTGGGCCTCCACCTCCGAACCTCCCCTCCCCCTCCTCCCCGCCCGACAGGAGTCCTCCACGCGAGCGTGCCGCTCCCCTCGCTCTCTCCCCCCGACCACGCCCTGGAAGGGCCCCGCCCTCTCCGTGCATTCTGCTTCCACCACACGCACACATGAAGGGGAACTAGGACACACAAATAAATAGGCACAACTAACCAGATTCCCCATATGTTCCCCTATGTTCTGGGTGCTTGTCTTCTTCCCCCCCCACTTCCCACATTTTCCCATATTCTCTAAGGAATCGACACTTACTTGTGTCTGTGTGTTGTTTCCTTTCCTGAGCATAGGAAGGATGGGCAACCTTCCCAGGGAACCCTTTCATCCGCCCTCTCCAGCCCATCCTTAGCCGATTTCGCTGGCCGCGCCCCGCTCGCTGAGTGTCGGCATGGCCCTCCAAAGCCATTGCATCCTTATCCTGCGTCTTTCTTACACGGGTTGACTGTACGGTAGAGGGAAACAGTTGATGGACATCCCCTGTCTCCCCCAAACTCAAAGCTGGCACGCGCGGGGGGAACTGCGGTCGAAGTGCAACTCATCGGACCCACCACCAACATTGAACCTTGGGGGAGGGGGCAGGCGTTGACCCATGAATGTGGCATGCGTGCTCGCAATTTTTCCGAGGCCTGTATTCCATGACTCTTCATATGTATTCTGGACTTTTTCAGTCGGAAGTCTTCGGTGCGTCAAAATCGGGGCTGGACAGACAGACCTCCCTTTAGTAGAACGTGGTTTAGTGAAAACGACCTGAGGCCCAAACCTGGCGGGCGCAAGCCTGGAAAATAGCGGCCGCGGCGCCCTCTCGAGAACCAAAAATGGACAATTCACTAATCGACGTGTCACTGTTGGGGGCTCTGTCCACCCCCGACAAAGTGGTGGTCCCGCTGCAGCGTGGGCCTCCTCTTAGAATCGGTGCTCTGGTGATCCCATCGTTCCGGATGGCCATCTCGCCCCAGCGCGGGCAACTCTTCTGGATCCGAGCCCCTCCTCGTCGTCGTCGCCGACCGGGAATGAATGATAATGTAAATGGACACCGTTGTGCCAGTTATTTTTTTGTCTGTTCTGAGCTCGCCGTGTTTCTGTGGTGGGGGTGGGAAGGAGCCGGCCGATAACCCAACACTCTCGCTGTGAGCAACCCAACGTATGCCCGCGCGAACCACTACTGCGTACCCCTTTTGGACCTGCGCAACCGCAACGGTCAAGTTATCGGGGAGGGGGGCGGGCGGGCGGGACCCTGGCTATCGCCAGACACTCACAAAAAACAGTTTCCTGGATCTCCCGCAGGCACGCGTGCACAAGGCCACCATCTCCAAAACTACACTGGGATTGCGGGAGACCAGTCTGTGCGATCCCCCTCCCCTCCGTCCCCCCTCGATTCCCTCTTCCACCCTGGAGGAGGAGATGCATCAACACCACCTGGAGGGTGGAGGCAGCGGGAGATCAGGGGTCCTCCGCGGGGCACCCTGCACACCCGCCTCCTGCGGACCAGCCCCTCCCGCGAACTACCCCCAAGTGGTGGCAGCAGTAATTAGTAGTAGAGGCATCTCAACTCGGGTCCGAGTAGATGGGGTCGGAGGATCGCGCCGCATCGCCGATGCATCGCCGATGCATCGGCGACGTCGCCGATGCCTCGGCGACGTCGGCATGGAGAAACGAGGGCTCCACATCAAGCCGCATTGCCGATGCATCGGCGATGCGGCGAGACCCCTCGACACCATCTGCTCGGACCCCACTCGGGAGGCCTCAGAGGTAAGCGCTGCGCCTCTTGCTCCCGGCACCCCGCCCCGAAAGAGCGCGCGCGCGCGCCGTGCGAGGGAGCGACGATGTCGGGGCAGGGGTGGCCGGGGCCTGCCAGTCGCACAGCAGGGCCGTGGACTCGGGGACCTGCAGCCGGTCGACCTGAGGCCCCGGGCGACGCCGCAGCAGCAGAGGCCTCCCAGATGGGGTCGGAGTGGATGGGGTCGGAGGATCGCGCCGCCTCGCCGATGCATCGGCGATACATCGGCGATACATCGGCAATGCACCGGCGATGCACCGGCGATGCACCGGCGATGTATCATCGACGGCGGCAATGCATTGGCGACGTCGGCGTGGGGAAACATGGGCTGCACATCGAGCCGCATCGCCGATGCATCGGCGATGCGGCGCGATCCTCCGACCCCATCTACTCCGACCCCATCTAGGAGGCCTAGAAACAGGCACCAAGACTGGCCCGCCCGAGACGGGTGCGCTGGCAGGCACCAGTGTCAACACGTCGGAGCACCCCTCCCTCCTTGGCGGGCAGCGCCCCGCGAGAAGAGGCCCGGGTACGGGCGGCGGCACCCGCGCTCCGAGGCTGCCCGAGGAGAGGCGTGCACACGCTGCCCTGCTCGGGCCGGGCGACAGGGGGGGGGGGCATGGCAGAGGGGGGGGTTCGAGAATCAGCTCACTTGGCTGATTTTCCCGGCGCCTCCTGGCGCCGGAGGCGGCCACGTATCGGGGAACGGGCCCCTTGTTGGGGCCGAAACCAGCCGCATGCCGCAGATCTCGTAACCCCCCCTTTCCCGATCCCCCCCCCTTTTCGCCCGGCCCGACCTGCGGCGCTGTGCACCCCGGAGAGGCCCCCAAGACATCCGCCGCCACGGTTTCGCGACGGAAGCTTCGGCGGCACGCCGGAGTGAGGCCCTTGGCGAGGGGCAACGATAGGGGGGGAACCGGCGTAGAGGGGAATGCATTGCATCGGCTTGGAATCGGCGATACATCGCCGATAGATCGGCGCTAGGCCTGCAGTCGTGAATCCGCACCTTCCTGGGCAGACTGGGGCGATCGGGCCCGCGTCGGCGATCCGTGGGCGATTGGGGGGGGGTCGATGCATCCCCCCCTGTGCCTGTCCCTGTCGTTGCCCCCGACCCTGGCAAGAGCGACTCAGAGTCACCCTGGGTGCGCGAGCTTCGGGGGCCGCGGAGAGGGCAGACGCAAACGCGCAAGACGCTGCTACCGCATCGCGTTCTGTCATCTGGGGGACCAAGGTGTGCCCGCTCCAGAGGTCACTCTGGCGAAAGGTCGAGAACTCTCGCTATCATGACATGATGACGAGAACTCTGTGTTGAATGATATGGCATTCGCTGGGCGGGCGTGAACTCCGTATGGTAGCATGTCGTAAGAAGGTTCATTGAACGTGGATTCAAGTGGGTACTCGGCAACTGATGCTTTGGCATGAATGAGTTGACTGCAAAGGATGGCTTGGCCGGGGCCCATGAATTGATCTTTACGATGAGCCATCGGTCGTGCAGACTCGATGTGGAAAGCCTGTGCGCTTAGGGGGGGCGATACATCCAGCCTAGGCATGGCGGTGTAGCCTAACTGTTGACAACCGTAGAGATCTATTATGTTCAACGGAAAAAACAATCAAATAACACCCCCCCCAGACAATCTCCCGGACAACCCAGACAACCCATGCCGACTAGTGACGATAAGACTGCCTACCCCGAACAACCTCTCGGACAACCCGGCGGGGATCCAGACGACCCCACTGTACCACTCCCCTTGAACTAACCTCCCAGGGATTTGTTCGTCCATAAGATATAATACACGCGTATACATATCTCTGTATACATACAGTCAAGCCGTCTCACAAGGACGCACGATGATGATGCAAGGGCCTTGGAGGGCCGTTTAGAAGCTTCTCGACCAGGGCGCGGCCAACGAAAGTCGCCAAGGATGAGCCGAGGAGTGAAGGATGCAAGGGTACCCTTGGGAAGGCTGCCCATCCGTACTATGCGGTTTGACTGAAATATGTATACCATCGGTCAGAAGAAGTAGGTAGAAACATGAAACATGAAGCAGGAAGGCGTTACAAATAGACTGGGTGTCCGCCCGCCCCCAAAGGAGAACGGAAAAGGTGAAAACACTCGATCATTGGAGTAGGAAGGCGCCTAAGGGAGATTGGAACCTGGGACTCCAACCACACCTACTTTCAACGACCGATGGGTAACATGCATACGTGGTCCAGCCTACGGAGGCGCGAACAATGTGTGCATCCTGAAGCGCATGCCACCGCCCGATAATTAGGGCCCCACGAGGCGCCAAAAGCGCGGGCTGGAGGCCACGGCCCGGAAAAAACTCCCAGGCCACCGCGCTAGGGGCGCGCACGAGGCTCCCACAGGCGGGCAGTGCGCAGACGTGTGGGACTGCCCACTCTTTAACCGTGAGAGGTTTTTAGTTCTGACCCCCCCACACCCTTTTCTCTCGGCGGTGAGTGGGATTGGTCCTAAAACCTCCTCGTCGCGGCGGAGAAGACTTTCCCTCTCTTGTTGGGCGGGCTCCCTTGGTGCAAGCGCGAAGAAGCCCGGTGGCACGGAGGGGGAAGAGTAGGGGAAAAAGAACTATGCACATACACCGATTCTGGCCAGGCCCATCCTGAGCCCAGGATCGGTGCATACCCCCTCCTACCTTTGGCTAGGAAGGCAGATGCACCAATCCTGGGTCAAGGATGGGCCTTGCCAGGATGGGTGCATGTACATAGTTCTCTTCGCCCGAAAGAAGAGGGGGGGAGTAAGGTAACAAAAAATGGCATAAACATAACAACTCAGAGGTCCGCGCGGATTTCTCGGATCGGCGCTGTACCCCCCTCCCTGGCGCGCGGAGCGCGCCAGGGGCGGCGCCGGAGGCGCCGCCGCGGGGCCCCAGCGCCGATCCGAGAAATCCGCGCGCACCTCCGAGTGTTTATGTTTCTGCCACGTTTTGTTCCCTTGGGGAAGGGCAGCGAGGGAGGGGAGAATCGGCTGCACGTAAGTGTGACCCTGGGTAAGAGTGACCTTTGGTGCGCGGCTTTTGTGGGGGCGCGAGGAGACTAATCACGAGCGCGCAAGACGCTACTATCGCAACGAGCGCGGCGATCGGGGGACCCCAGTGAGCACGCACCAAAGGTCACTCCGGCGAAGGGTCACTCTTACGTCTAGTCGAGAGACCACTTTTTGTTCCCCTAGGGAGGAGCAGGGAGGGAGGGGAAATGGGGGGGGTAAGGGGCAGGGAGGGAGGGGAGAGGAGGGAGGGAGGGGCAGGGAGGGAGGGGAGGGGAGAAGGGGGGGAGGGGCAGGGAGGGGCAGGGAGGGGGGGGGGGGTGCAACCGCAGAGCAGCTCCGTCGGGCGGCCTGGGCCCGCGCCGCGCGAGCGCCGCCCGAGGCCGCGCACGACGGGGGCGCGCCCGAGGCGCCCGCGGCGGGGCCCCCTGGGCGGGCCCCCCCTGGTATTCCCGGCCCGCGACCCAGCGCTCACGCGGGGGGGCGCCCATCGGGCGGGCTCCGGGAGCTACCCACCAGGGGCGCCCTGGCGCCCTGGTGGGCAGCTCCTGGCGCTCGGGGGGGCGCCCACGGCGCTCAGGAGGGCGCCCTGGCGCCCTGGGGGGCGCCCACGGGCGTGCTCCAGTCCAGGGGGGCGCCCACGGGCGGGCTCCAGGGGGGCGCCCTGGCGCTCGCGGGGGAGCCCATCGGGCGGGCTCCGGGAGCGGCGCGAGAGGAGCAGCCGCTTCAGGGAGGAGGAAGGAGGGCCCCTTTATAGAGCAGGCGCTGCCGAGGGGGGGGAAAAAGCCCCGCAGACTGTGCACGAAAGGATGCCCCAGGCAGCGCTCTGGGCAGAGCCCGGGCTGGATTGCCAGCCGGCGCTGTGCTTCCAGCGCCCAGACTTTTTCGGAACCTTGCAATTTCTCAGACCGCCAGAGGGCGTCTTGGAGCTGTGTCCATGTCGTATTCTCTCACTCTCTCTCACTCACTCTCTCTCTCTCTCTCGCTCTCGCTCTCGCTCTCGCTCTCTCTCTCTCTCTCTCGCTTTCTGTCTTTCTCTCGCCCTCTCTGTCTCTCTCAGGGCAGGCCCTGCCAGGGGCCGACAGCGGCGGAGGCGCCAGCATGGGCGACCTCCTCCAGCCACACCAGCGGCTCGGTCGTGGTGTTGGTGGTGTACATCGCCTGCCCCGTCGCTCTTCCTCCTCCTCCTCCAGGCCTGGCCCTGCGCGAGGAGCCCTTCGCTTGAAGGAATGAGCTCATGGGCTGGGCTGCATTGGCCCGTTTCGCAGGCTCGATAAATGGATCAGACACATGCACGTAACTATGTTTGGTTACACTGTGTGGGAAATGGATAACACCTGAGAGACGGGCAGGACTGGTGGCGCGAATTCGCAAGCCTCTGGTCCAAGAACGTACAATCGAGGTTGATTGGAGGGAAAACGCGAGAGGCATCAAGACCCTTCCGAGGGCCACATTGCCATAGGAATATAGAAGGCAAGGGTCGAGAAACACAGGACAGAAAGGTACCCTTGATCTGGCAGGGTCGGCTTACTCATTAGGCTCGACCGTAATTAGGTGGAATTGTTCCTCCCATCCCACTCCTCCGTATGATTTCTGGTGTGCACCGCAGCGCACTCAATGTGGTTAGAGGGGGTGTCCACAAGGGGGTCCAGCGGGGCAAGAACGACACTGTAGATCCGCCCGTGGGGAGAGGCCTGTCTGCATGGAAAGGGGGCCAAGGGAATGTACATGATGAGGGGGCCTCTTGACTATGGAATACCCCGCCGGCACGGAGTATCTAGACGGCGGGTGCCACGGGGAGGGAACCCAGACGGAAAAGGATCATCGACCTGTAGGACCACCCTGCGGGTGATACGGAGGTTGGGGGGAGGGGGCCAGCAAAGGGCAACAGTGGTGATTGTTGTTCTGATGAGGCTAATGGAGATCGTTGCGTTGCCGCTGCTCTTGGGAGCCTTGGTGTCGAGTTGTCTACGTCACCCTTCGCTCTTGGGCGCCTTGGTACCATTCCCCCCCCCCCTCCCCCGGTAACCAACGACATCATAAATTATTTCGCTCATTCTGCAAGGGCTTCGGGGCCGTTTGGGCGCGTCTTTTGGACCTCTTGGGGGGCTCTTGAGAGCCTCTTAGGGGCCTCTTGGGAGTCTTTCGATCTCGCTATCGATCCCACTCGATCGATCTCAATATCGATCTCACTATCGATCTCACTATCGATATCACGATCGATCTCACTATAGATCTCACTATCGATCTCTCACTATAGATCTCAATATCGATCTCACTATCGGTCTCATTATCGATCTCACTATCGATCTCACTATCGATCTCCCTGTCGATCTCACCACGGGACACCACGGGACAACGACGGGACACCAGCGGGACACCAGCGGGACACCAGCGGGAAACCGGCGGGACACCGCGCGCCACCGGTTGCCGGGCGGAGAACTTTTTGGTCCGGCCGCGGCTCAGCCTCGACGGGACACCAGCGGGACACCAGCGGGACACCGGCGGGACACCGCGCGCCACTGGTTGCCGGGCGGAGGACCTTTTGGTCCTGCCGCGGCCCAGCCACAGGAGAATTTACTCTCCCCCGCCCACGCAGCTTCGCCTCGCCCACACGCACAGCACGAACACGAAACCGAAATCGATGTCCCGGTAGGGGAGTTCTCCGTTCCACTTCGATCTCACCCCCCAACCTCCGACAAGGTTTCATAGGGATGGAAGATGATGCACCCGCTGGTTTGTTGCTGCTGATCCTGCTGCTCCTTTTCCTCCTCCCTCAACCCTCGTCCTCTGCATCCTCGTAAGCGTGGTCCTCGTCGTCGTTCTCCTGCTCCTCCTCCTACTCCTCCTACTCCTCCTCCCTTCTCCTCCTCCTCCCTCTTCTCCTCCATCTCCTCTTTCCCCTCCCCGTCCCTCTCCCCCCAGCTCCTCGTCCACTGATGAATCCCCCCCTGTCACAACCCCAAGCGTGTCGGTAGGCCTGGACGGGCGTTTCGCCGGGAACTGCCTCACCGTTTCTGAGCCTGAAGCTTGAAACTTGCAACGGGTTCAAGGATGGAGGGGGGGGTCAAAATGTGGCTCTCACCTCAGCGCCGCGCACATTCGTTTCAAACGTTTGCGGCAAATTCAAGGATGAATGGGGTGGCATTCAATGTGGGGCTCTTGCCTTAAAGCCGCGCTCCACTTACAAGCTTACAGAAGTTGCAAGGATGGGGGGAGGTCATTTTGAAAGTGCGGCTCTCGCCTTTCGCGTTGTCAAAGTGGACTCTCGCCATTCGCGATGGTTACATTGGTCATACAGATGCAGCAGCTTCACGCATGCAGGACGGTTCATTCGCAAACTGTGGCATTCGCCTCAGCGCCGCGCATGCCCGTTATTTAGCGTTCGTGTGGGACTCAGACGATATGAGACACTACGAAACGCACAACATTCACACGCCTGCACCCTGGGCGAGCAGGAGGAGCGGGACCCGCTGGTTCCGAGAGTCTGCAGCCGCTTCAGGGGTGGAGTGGTGGTGGGGGTCAAACAGGAGGCTTTGACCGCAGCGCCGCTCGCACTCTCTTCTTCTACGGTGTGCGACGGCGTCAAGGATTATGTGGCTCACATCGAACTGAAGGACCACATCCTTCGGGAGCGGCCAAGAGGGGGGCGTCCAAGAGAGGGGGGTGCAAATCATGACCGGCGGCATGTGCGCGGCCCAGCGGGGGGGCCAGGGACGTAATGGAATAAGAAGGGGCGCCATGAGATCTGGGGAAATATCATGGCCCCCGCCATGATATCCACCCCCCCCTAGTCATCACCCCCCTCTTTTCCGCCCCCGAATCCTAGAAATACTTTCGAGCACCCAGAGAAAGATCAAACTGGTGTCGAACGAGTATCGCCTGCAAGGGCCCGACGCGTGGAACAAACATCCAATCTCGGTACTTTCCCTTGTGTTCGAACGTCTTTCTGGGGATCCCGAGGCTAGAATAGGTTAGAACATCATAAGTCAAGGATTGAGGGCGGCTCCCTTTCAGCATGCGGCTCTGGCGCGCGAGCGCCGCACACCTTCGTCGGAAGCGTGTGCGCAGCTTCCGCGACGGAGGACGGCTCCTCCTGTAAAAAGTCTAGCGTTCGCCGCGTGGTGCCTCGCTCGTTCGCCCCCAGGACTCCTGCAACCGCGCTTCACAGATCAAGCACACGTCGTCCTTACAAAGTGGTTGGCGCCTCAGCGCAGCGATGGAGAACTGTTTTGTTTGTCAAGAAATGATATTGTCGCTCACGTCTACAATGCTAGACTCTTCGTTTGTCAAGACAGATTGTCGTTCGAACGCGCCAGAGCTTCAACACATGCAACACTGCACTGTTACAGGGCGGTTGTTTGTCATAATGGTTCTCTCGCTTGAGACATCCTCGGGATTGAAGACCACAAGGATACCACTGGGCACCACCTTCAATTGGATGGTGATAGTTTTCGCTTCCTGAAGACGCGTCGCAATCATGCAAGGAAACTCCTTTCAAACGAGGCACCCTGTCCATAATGCCAGGCCAACCTGCGCTGGTCTTTCGAACGCGAAACAAACACTGGTAGGAACGCACAGGGAGGGGACTTGGGACGGGAGGGTGTATTGCACGATCGCTGGTGCATCTTGGATTTACTCTGGTCATCGTCCTCCTGCTTCTCCTGCTTTTCCTCCTCCTCATCCTCCTCCTCCTCATTCCGCATGTTTCGACACCGCGGCCGAGACAAAGAAGTACGGGCAATAAGGAAACAAGGACCCTCGACACCCGCGGGAACGGCGGCGACAAGCAAAGAGGAAGACCAGGGGACGTACTAGCAGGCAAGGGCAGGTGCAGCTGCAGGAAGATGAGAAACATCTGGTAGGACACCGCGCATGTGCAAGAGGACGGGATGCTCATGTATCAACGAAAACCAGAGGGGCAACAAGGAGGCGAAGTCGATGACGACAGAGTACAATGGGTGTGGATGAGGACAAACGGGGAGGAGAAGGGCAGAGACAGTAACGATGAGGAGGTCAGCAGCAGCAAAATGGGGGAAGAACACGAGGAATATGTGGATAAGCAACAGCAGACGGCATCACGGATGAGCAAGAGGCAGGAGGGAGAAGGTGAGGAGCAACAGGAGCGGCACGAGGCGCCCGTCAGAAACCCCCTGAGGACCCTGAGGGTCCCCGGAACTTTTACTTTACACGTGCGCCCCGAGCCCTCACTCGTTCCCCGCCTTCTGAAAACGAGGAGCAGGAGGAGGGGCGAAGCGGGAGGAGGATGGGGAGCGAAGGTCAACGATCGGGGGGAACTGGCAACAGGGGATACATCGACCTTGAATCGACGCTACATCGTCGATTGATCGGCGATATGCCCCCGATCGCACAATTACACGCTCCTGGGCAATGCATGGCTACTGGACCCACATCAGAGATGAGTTTCCGACGGCGGTCGACGCATTCCCCCATGACCCTACCCCCCCCATAAGCTTCCCCTCAGGGGCGAGATGGAAGGGATGAACGAAACCGCTGGTGCATGTCCGAATTAACTACCGTAACCCCCGCAATTGCGGAAGAGTGTGGGGTGGGGGGGGGGGGGCGCAGCCCGCGAGGCTCTGAACAGGCCCGCCGCAGGCGCCGGCTTTTTACACATTGCGCAAAAAACCCACCGAAAGCGTCGAAATTTCGTCAACACAACGTACATGGGTCCCGGGTGGGTCGCGGGCGGGTCGCGGGAAGGTCGCGGGTGGGTTGCGGGCGAAGACGGCGACAACAACAAACAACGCCCACAGTCCGCGCCGCGAGATCCGCACTCGGGGACGGTGTAAGACCGTTGGGCCCCCTCACTCCGACATTGGCAGTGCACTACGATCGGCCCTTGCAACCGAAACCTTATTTCGGGACAAGCCCGCTCAAACAAAACATAAGGTGTCGGGGACCCTGTCGACCGCCTGGATGGGTCACAGCGGGCGGACTCCCATCCGACTGCTTTACGTTGTGCCAGATTTTGCGTACTCGAAGGCTGCCTGGAGCGCTTTGCAAGGGGAGGCGAAGGGAAGACTGCAGAGGCGAACGCGGGGGAAGAAAAGGACGAGGAGGAATGGGTTGAGGCGGATGATTGCGATACGTAGAGGCCCCCCGGACGGGGTCGGAGTACGAAGGATCGGGCCGCATCGGCGATGCATCACCGACGCATCGGCGATGCATTGGCGATGCATCGGCGACGGCGGCGTCGGCGATGCATCGGCCACGTCGGCGAACATAAACATTGTCTCCACGTCAAACCGCATCGCCGATGCATCGGCGATGCGGGGGCTGAACGAAAATCGGACGAACCCGCGTCGCCGAGGCGGCGGCGGCGGCGGCGACGGAGGAGGAGGAGGAGGAAGAGGAGGAAGAGGGGGATGCAGATGCGAATGGTTACGATACGGTTGGCGAAGAAAAAGAAAAAACGACGGCACCACCACCAGGGACCACCAGCGGAAGGAGCCACGGGGGACCCCCCGAGATGCTCCCTATCCCCACTTTGGGGAAGCACCGTGGACATCGTCGCTGCAGGTGGCCTCATGGTAGTGGTGGTGTCGCCTCTCCTTACCCCGAAAGGATGGAACGAGAAGGCGGGGCTGGAACGCCCCCCCGGGGGGGGTATTTTTTCTTGTTTTTGGCCGGCAGCGGTCATTACCCGGGACGGTGTCTGGGCTCTAGGTAACGGTAGCACTTGGGCAGGGCGAGGTTATTCAGGACGGGGGGGCGCCACGATCGCATTGCTGTGCGCCGAACGAAACCTCATGCCCGCAAGCGTAACAGTGGCATGCGAATCGACCGCGCGCGCGCAAAGCCCGACAACACCAGCGACGTACAAACGAAAACCGCGAGGGCCTGCGAGCGACCAACGTGCGCCTGTGACAACCATACCAAGCGTCGTCATCGTCGAAATAACAGGCGTCGTCGTCGGAATATTGGCCGTCGTCGTCGGCATCGCGGTGGCCATCCGAATTTTCGTTGGGACCGTCACCGGCGTCATAGGAAGCGTCGCAACAGCCGCTTTCATCGAAATCATCATCTGAAATATTGGTGCCGCCATCGGAATCGACGGCGTCGTCGTCGGAATCGGCGCCGTGGCCGCCATCGTCACCGCCGCCATCATCGTCGTCAACGCCGGAATCGCCGTCAAAATCTTCATCGACGGAGCCGGCACCGTCGACGTCAGCCTCGTCGTCGTCACTGGAACCGTCGTTGTTTTCGACAGCTTGGGAGCTGTCGCCAGCATCGTCGCCGTCGACGTCGTCGAGACCAGCGTCGCCAGCGTCCTCCTCCGTAGTCAACGTCGTCGTCGCCGTCGGAATTGTCGTCGTCGAAATCGTCATCGCTTTGATCCTCCCCATCCTCTCTCTCGCCCTCCTCCTCCTCCTCCTGCTCTTGCTTCTCCTCCCCCTCCTCCTCTTGTTCCTCCTGTTTCTCCTCCTCCTCCTCCTGTTCCTCCTCCTCCCCCTTACCTCCTCCTCCTCCTCCTCTTCCTCCTCCTCGTCCCTTTCCCCAGCGGAGATTGTAGCCTGGCTAGAAAGAGCCTCGAATAGCAGACGAAGCATGTTTGCGGCCACGGAGAACCTCGACCATCAGCAGGTTCCCCGACGATGTAACGAGGAGCGGTCCAGAAATGAGCTCATAGAGCAGGAGGACCTCGGTGGTGAGCAGGGCATATCGAAGAAGACGACGAGGACGACGAGGACGACGGTCGACGACAGACCACGTCGACGACGACGATCGACGACGACGACGACCAACGGCGACGACGACGATGACGACGACGCCGCCAACGAGGACGACGGCGGGGGCGGCAGCGACGACGGCGACGACGACGAGGTTGACGACGGCGGCGGCGGCGGCCCGGCGGCGACAGGATAGAACCTGCCACCGCGACTGCAGCGGCCTGTGCTTGTCGGACCCTCACCTATATCGTTATGTCCCTTGCCTCCCTCGTCCTTCTTCGTCGCCGTCCTCCTCCTCCTCCTCCTCCGCCTCCTCCTCCTCCGCCTCTTGCCCTTCCCTCTCTCGCGAACATCACGTTTCCCTGCGAACGCCGAACACCACAACGCCTGCGAACGGGCCCGCGAACACCACAACGCCTGCGAGCATCAGGCGCATGTGCAACATCAAACCGGGCCCTGTCAAACTCGCAAACGAGCGAGCAGCGCAACGCGTGTCCGAGCACCGCCAATGAGCCTGCACGCGCCACGGTAACACGCGAGAGCCCCAATTTACCTGTGAGCAACACAACTCACAAAACTCGCCTCCGGGCACCTGCATGTCAAGATGACCCAAGCCCCCCCGCCCAAGTACGATCGTTACCGTTACCCTGAGGGGTGGTGGTGGCCCGAGTAACGGGCGTTACCCGCCAGAGGGTAAACGAAAATCTCGGGGGGAACCAGAGGACGAAAACCTGTATAAACATGAACTGTCGGAGCTCTGCGCGGATTTCTTGGATCTGCGATGGGACCATCTGGGCGGTGCCTCAGGCACCGCCCCTGGCGCGCGCCAGGGAGGGAGCTCCATCGCATATCCAAGAAATCCGCGCGGAGCTCCAAAATTGTTGTGGTCATGCCATCTGCCCTTCCCCGAAGATCGGGGGCGACGATGGGGGCGAAAAGCCCAAGGGAAAACAATACGTGTACCCAATAGGACGGGAATGATGCCATGAGAAGATTTGCTCAGGATACGTTCCAGGATTTCCGGAGTGTCTCGCGGCGCAGCGGGTGCGGTACATGAGGAGAGATGGGAAATCCTGGAAGCCTTAGGAATCCTGGAACGGATCACTATCGTGACCTTGCTCCTCTGACCCGAGGGGCTCCGATAGTCCATGTTTTCGGCGAGGCTCCTGGGCGTCATGCCCGCGCCCCTTTCGGTGGCAACTCCTGGGAGCCTCCCGTAACATCTTGTCGGCTCTTGCGACTCGACGCTAGTCGACGCTAAATCGACGCTAAATCGACGCTACATCGACGCTGATCGACGCTAGTCGACGCTAAATCGGCACTATCTCGTCGACTCCCAGACGTCAATCGACGCTGGTCGACGCTCAAGACGGAATTCAGAAGGGTATACCAGGCCCCCACGACTTGCTGCCTCGGTGGCTCGAAGATGGGCTCTTGAGGGATGGAGTCCTAAGGACGAGGTGCCTCAAAGAATGTAAATCCACCTTTGGATCCCCTCCCTCTTGAGCAGGGACCGACCGTCCCGGCATTCCTACAGTCATACCACGACATGTTCTAAAAACAAGAAAATGATCTAATAACAAGAACACTGTTCTTAGAACATAAATCCGATGTGTGAAAACAAGACAATCCCAGCCAGACATGTTCTAGGAACATTCCTGGAAACCACAAACAGTTCTTAGAACATTGCTTGGTGGGGCTATGGGCGAGCCGGGACGCTTCGCCACTGCTCGACCCTTCCTCAAGACCCCCTCCCCCAGGACCCCATACTTGAGACCCCCCCGCTGCCGAAGCCCCTGGGCAAATTTTCGCCCCTTTGGACACCCGAAACGGGTACCGAGAGAATGGGTACAATGCCCAACAGCAAATGTTGCCCCAAACCAACAGCGGCCGCTGTTGGGCAGGCGTCCTCCTGTCTCAAATGGACACAGGCCGCGGCGGCGCGGACAGCGAGTCCTGTTCAAAATGAACAAGATCCGCTGTTGGGCATGGTACCCATTCTTTCAGTACCCATTCCGTGCGTGCCGAGCCCCCCGCGCGCGCGCGAAACGTGCGCGCGCGGGCCGGCGGAGCCGCGTAGGGGCTGGCCACCAGCAGGCCGCGCCCGCCGCCCGGGAGGCAGAGCACCGCCTCCGGCGCGGGGCGCGCGGCACCGAGCAGGCGCGACGGCGAGAAGGGGCCTGCTGGGCGGTGCGGCCGTGCGGCTGGAGAGCACGTGGCGCGATCTGCGGCAAGTTCGCGTCGTGGTCGACCGCGGCGCTGGCTCCTGGCACCGCGGAGGTCGTTCAAGCCTGAAGGATCGGCCGTTCCCTGAACGCCGGGTCGTTCACAACGGCGGGCCGATTCTGGGCCACGGGCGGCGTCCAACCTTGAACGCCCGCGCGGGGGTTGCCGCTGGTCGACACGACGTGAACCTGCCGTGCGGGCTGCGGTCGCCTCCCCCAGGGGGGGTACAGTAGGGGCCCGACCACAAGAAACCTTCCACAAGAAACCCAGCCCTGAGACCCCAGTTCGTCCGTTGATTTTGGGTGCGGGAGCGTCGCACTCTTTCCCATCGCGAAACCATCGGAGCCCAAGAAAACCAGGGCACCCTGGAGGCAGGCAGGGTGTGTCTTGGCATGGGTTTCCACTGTACGGTCGGGTCGCTGAAAAAAGGAACGCTAAATTCGCTAGCCCAACGGGCCAGAGGCGTGCTAAGATCTCGGGTAACTGGTTAACAATATTTCTAGTTCGCGCCCCCGGCGAAAAGTATCCCGACCGCAGCCCGAGCAGGTCTACTCAGAGATGGTTTTGATAGCCTTTTTCGACACCCTTCACGAGGATCGTGGCCTCCGAGGGGGGTGCATTCGACTACCCCGCCCCAAGAAGCCCCCAAGAGCCCCCCAAGAGGCCCAAGGGGGCCCCAAGACGCCGCCAAGGAGCCCCAAGAGACCCCCAAGAGGCCCCCAAGAGGCCCCTAGGAGGCCCCAGAGAGGCCCCCAAGAGGCTTCCAAGAGGGCCCACTAGAGCGCTCGAGGGCTGGCGGAACGAGCGAAGCGATTAAATTCGCCGGCCCAACGGGCCAGAGGCGTGCTAAGATCTCCGGTAACTGGTAAACAGTATTTCTGGTTCGCGCGCGCGGGGCGGCCCCTGGGGGTCCCTGGATCAAAAGTACCCCGGGAGGAGCCCGGGACACGCCCGGGACACTCCCCCAGATCCTCCAGGATCGCCCCAAGAGGGCACCAAGAGGCACCCAACACAATCCAAGAGAGGTCCGAGACGCCCGAAGATCGCTCCACGGCGCCCAAGATGGCCTCCAGACGGCCCAAGAGGTCTCCAAGATGACCCAACAAGCCTCCAAGATGCCCCAAGAGGCCTCCAGGAGCACTCCCAAGAGGGCCCCAAGAGGCAAACATGAATGCTTTTTTCATAGGTTTTGGACAGATTTGGGCGTTTCAACCTTTTCGGTTCCCCGACGCCCCTAAACGGCTCAAGAGGCCTCCAAGATCGCCCCAAGAGGGCCCAAGAGGCCCCCAAGAGGGCCCCAAGACGGCCCACGACGGCTCCAAGACGGCCCAAGAGGCCTCCAAGACGGGCCAAGAGGGCCCCAAGAACGCCCCCAACACGGTCCAAGAGAGGTCCGAGACGCCCGAAGATCGCTCCACGACGCCCAAGATGGCCTCCAGACGGCCCAAGATGTCTCCAAGATGGCCCAAGAAGCCTCCAAGATGCGCCAAGAGGCCTCCAAGAGGCATCCCAAGAGGGCCCCAAGAGGCAACAAACTGTGTTTTTCCTTTGGTTTTGGACAGATTTGGGCGTTTTAACCTCTTCGGTTTCCCGACGCCCCTAAACGGCTCAAGAGGCCTCCAAGATCGCCCCAAGAGGGCCCAAGAGGCCCCCAAGAGGGCCCCAAGACGGCTCCAAGACGGCCCAAGAGGCCTCCAGGACGGCCCAAGAGGGCCCGAAGAACGCCCCCAACACGGTCCAAGAGAGGTCCGAGACGCCCGAAGATCGCTCCACGACGCCCAAGATGGCCTCCAGACGGCCCAAGACGTCTCCAAGATGACCCAAGAAGCCTCCAAGATCCCCAGGAGGTCTCCAAGTGCATTCCCAAGAGGGCCCCAAGAGGCAAACTAACAATGCTTTTCCATAGGTTTTGGACAGATTTGGGCGTTTCAGCCTTTTCGGTTCCCCGACGCCCCTAAACGGCTTAAGAGGCCTCCAAGATCGCCCCAAGAGGGCCCAAGAGGCCCCCCCAAGGGCTCCAAGATGGCCCACGACGGCTCCAAGACGGCCCAAGAGGCCTCCAAGACGGCCCAAGAGGGCCCCAAGAACGCTTCAGGAACGCCCAAAGAGGGGGTTCACGAAACAGAATTTCGAGCTCTCTCGGCCCTTAGAAGCCCCCGGGAGGCCCCAAGACGCCCCGAAAGGCCCCAAGAGGCCCCCAAGAGGCCCTCAAGAGGCCTCAAGAGGCCTCCAAAAGGCCCCCTGGAGGCCTCCAAAAAACCCTCAGGAGGCCCCCAGGACGCCTCCAAGACATTCCAAGACTCCAGCCAGACGCGTCTTGGGAAACGCGGGTCGGGGTGGTCCTCCTCCCCCGCGTTCGGCCTCCAGCCTCGAGCCTCGACCCTCCATGACGACGACGACGACGCCGGCGGGCGGCGGCGGCGGGCGGCGGCGGCGACGACGACGACGACAAAGGCGCTCCTCATCGCTCCTCATCCCCCTCCTCCTTCCTCCTCCTCCTCCTCCTCTTCCTCCTCCTCCTCCTCGTCCTCCTCCTCCTCCTCCTCCTCCTCCTCCTCCTTCCCCCATTCAGAATGGACGACATCCGAAGACAAAGGCGCCCCTCATCGCTCCTCATCCCCTCCTCCCTCCTAATGTTCCTCCTCCTCTTTCTCGTCCTCCTCCTCTTCCTCCTCCTCCTCCTCCTCCTCATCATCATCATCCTGTCCTCCTGTCCTCCTGTCCTCCTTCTCCTCCTCCTCCTCCTCCTCCTCCTCCTCCTCCCCCAATGCAAAATGGACGGCATCCGACGGCAAAGGCGCCCCTCTTCGCTTCTCATCGCTCCCCCGTGTCCGCAACGCCAGAGGACATCAGGACGATAACAGGGCCAATGTTGGCATTCAAAGCCCGCCACCCTCCGACACGAGGGTCCCCCTATCGCATAAGATGTCTCTTCCCCCGGCTCGAACGGCCCCACAGCGGGATACCACGGGTAACACGCCCCCACGATGGCACCAAAGCCGTCAAAAAACTGCAAACACCTAGAAGCCCCATGAAAAAACAACAACAAATTGATCGACAACTACACAGCTCCCGACGCCGCAGCTCCACACTGCGAACGACCACTCGGACAGGCGACCACGGTGCGACATTATGGGCCGGCGGAATCAGCGAAGCGATTAAATAAGGAACGGAGCCCCTTCTTGGCCCTGTGAGCGCCTCCGCGCCCCAGGAGGGCAAGAGGAACAGCGCTGGAGGACAACCCAAGGAACATCGAGACCATAGTAGGCCCCGAAATCGGCAGGGCCGTTTTTTCACCGTTTCCGAAAAAAATGTCCCTTGAAAATGGAAACGGCAAAAAAACGGCGACCAGAAACGGCAAAATAACGGCTCCAGGATTGGAACCGGCGCCAGAACCCGTCCAAAAACGGCGACGGAACCGGTAAAAAACGGCGTCGGAACCGGCAAGAAAACGGCAAAACGGAACCGTCAAAAAAACGGCCCTGTCGTTTCCAGGGCCCACGAAGATCGAGCCCCTGCCGAACCCAAACTGCTCCCTCTTTCAGCGTCTTGACTGCAGCGGCGCTGGGGCCCCGAGCAGCGCTCTGCGTGTCCGGCCATGGACCCCCTCCACCTCCCGCCGCGCCGGCTTCGGTGCCTCGGCTCGCCTCCGAGGCGCCCTTTCTGCCGCTCGAGCGCTGCTCGGGGCGGGCGGCCGCAGATCGAGCAAACTCCATTGGGCCGTCTTCGGCGGTCATCTGGCCGTCTTCGGTGGTATGCGGCGCTCCTGCGACGGTCGTCGGTGGTCTTGTGCGGTTTTTCGGTCGGCCTTTGAGGGTCTCCATCGATCTTCGGCGCGAGAACGGGGCAGCTGTGTTCTACAGAACGGTCCATGATCGAACAACCAAGGTAGCGGCAACGCTTGGGCGGGGCGGGGCACGTCGTGGGAACAAGGAAAGGCGACACCAACACCACCAGGGCGAGGAACTGCGCAGAGCAAGGGGGGTCTCCCTGGTGGTGTGGCCCACCACTCTCGCTCGAGGCATCCCCAGCCTCCAGCTCGGGGAGTCATCGTGGACCTCCTCGCTCGAAGTGTCCCCCCTGGTGCTGTTGGTGTCGCTTCTCCTCTCTCCGACGTCGGGGCGGGGATGCGCTGAGATCGCCATGGTACGCGCGTGAACACCAATATGCCGGGGGGGGGGGGCAAACCCCCTGCCCTCCCCCCCGACGTACGATCGTTACCGTTACCTGTAGAGGCCTCCTAGATGGGGTCCGAGTAGAGGGGGTCGGAGGATCGCGCCGCATCGCCGATGCATCGCCGATGCGGCTCGATGTGCAGCCCGACTTGCTCCACGTCGGCGTCGCCGATGCATCGCCGACGTCGACGGCGCAGAGGAGTGCATGAAGGCCATCCCGGCGCAGAGATCGACGCGGTGATGTGCCCGCCGCTCCTGGGAGGACCGAGCCCAAAACCCACCCCCGCCTGGCGCTGGCGCGCCGGGCGTTGCAGACGCCTTACCAGCCTCGAACCTATCCCTATCCCTAAGATCGGCACGCCAAAAGGCGATGACAAGCTTAGGGATCCGCCCTCAAAAAAGAAGGTGATCCCTAAGATTGGCATCGTGATGAGGAGGTGCCCAGCATAGGGATAGGGCTATGTTCCAGGCTGGTACTTAACAGATGGCGCGCGGCCCCCCCGTGGTCGCGCACGCGCGAGGTGGCCCTCGGGCACCCCTTGGCGGCAGCCTGGGGCTGCGCAGGACGGACCTGCCGGCCCCCCTCCCGGAGGGCGCCTGGAGCGGTGTCCCCATGGTGCGGCGGCGGCGGCGGAGGCGGCGGCCCGGTCGACGCCCTCTCCGGGGGAGGTGGGCGAGCCTTGGGGCGGAGGCCTCTGGCGAGGCGCCCGGAGGCAGCATCGAACTGCCACGGCGGCCTCCGAGCAGGCTGACCACGCACGCCCCGGCCAGAGGCCGGGGAGCGTGCGGCAAGGCCGACGGACGCCTACCGCATTTGCTCATCTTTCTCATGCCTGTTGGGGTCTTTCGGGAAGCCTCTGGGCAACCTCGTGGAGGCAGTCTTGAAGCCCATTGGGGGCAGTTTGGGGGCCACTTGGGGTCTCTCTTGGGTCTCTCGGGGGACTTTCGGGTCCTCGGGGGGGGGTTCTTGGGATCCTTCGGGCGGTCTCCTGGGTCCGCTCGGGCTCGAGCCTCCCAACGTGCGAGGGCGGGTGGGGAAGGGGATCGGCTGGACGGTGTGGAACACGACTCAGGGAGAGGAGCTGTGGTGCTGGAGAGAGGCCCGTCGAACTCAAGCACCACATCCCAGACATAATTTCGAGCACCCAGCAAGACATCGACACAGTGCCGAACAAGTGTCGCCTCCCAGGGCACGACACGTCACAGCCCTCCAGTTTCGGTACGTTCTTGGTGCTCGAAACTCTGTCTGGTGAGCAAGGCTACAGCAGGTCGGAGCATCACAAGCCTTGTTTCGTTGCATCGCGGTCCCCAGACTCTCAGAGGTCACGACCCTTCCAGCCCATGGCCCGTTTTGTTTGTCGCCCCGGGTACTTGCTGGAAGGCACCACAGCCTGGCGAGAGAATGGGGGGGCCACCAAAGAGGGGCCACCTAACCCTGTGGGAGGGAACCTACGTTAGGAGGGCCAAGAGCATGAGGGACAGGAGGTCCCTCCTGGAGATGCATCGAACCACATCGTCCATATGTGTTCTCCCGAACGCAAAGACGGGGCCTGCAAAGACGGGGACCTCAGTGAGGCTGCGCCGTCAGGGGTGATATTGGGGCTGGGGTTTCTTACCCGCCGGCCCCCCTGCGGGGCCACCAGGCTGCGAGGGTGCGGGTTGCAGTGCCCTGCACCAGTTCCAGTTTCCAGTTTCCAATGCGATAGCTCTGATTTCTGCTTCCTACTGTAGATTGTTACTGTCAGCGCGAGGGGGGCGAGCCGAAAAGTAATTACCCTGGCTACCCCCCAGGAAAATTATCGGAATTTCCTGGGGGCCCTGGGATCCGAAAAAAGCACGCGAGAGCTGCACAGCCGAGGCCAGAAACATGCATCGCACCAAATCGTCCAGATCTAGGGACCTCAGTGAGGCTGGTGTCGGGTCCTCCTCCGCCTCCGCCTCCGCCTTCGCCTTCTCCTCCTCCTCCTCCTCCTCCTCCTCCTCCTCGTCCTCCTCATCGACCTCATCGTCCTCCTGCGTCAGGGGTTCTTGTATCCCCGACGAGAAAGCCTCACGTCGTGAGACTTGTCCTGGCGCGAGCATGCCTGGGTCTACGCTTCCCTGCGAGGGAGTGGGCGGGGCCGGGCGGCAGGATGCCTGGGTCGCGGGGCGCGCCAAAGCACGGGAGCACTGCACAGCCGAAGCCGAGAGCCCTCTCGGGCTGCAGTGCAAACGCGCGGCCGAGGCCAACCCCTCGCAAAATGCCTACAGCACTGGCGCTGCCCAAGCGCCAGAACGCCCCGGCGAGGGCGTGAGCGGGCCGGGCGGTGCCGCCGGAGCCTGGGGGCGGAAGAAGGCGCCGAGCGGCCACTCGACCTGGCACGCCGCCACCCCCCGCCGCCGCCCCCAGCCGTCGCCGTGCGGTCGTCGTCGTCGTCGTCGTCGTCGTCGTCGTCGTCGTCGTCGTCGTCGTCGTCGTCGTCGTCGTCGTCGTCGTCGTCGTCGTCGTATGCGTCCCACAAGAGGCCTTCCGCAAGAAACCTTCCACAGGAAACCCCTCGCCGTCGCCGTAAGGTCTCGTAGAGTCGGGGCTGGGTGGAGAGGATACGCGAGAGGACACAAGACCCTTCGGAGGGCTACACTGCCACAGGAATGGTCGCGTCGTGTCGACCCCGGCGTTGGTTCCTGACACCGCGGGGATCGTTCAAACTCGAGCGATCGGACCTTTCAGAGAAGGCCGGCTCGCTCCAGGATGGGCCGATTCTGGGCCACAGGCGGCGTTCGACCTTCTACGCCCGCGCTGCGGTCGCCGCCGGCCGACACGACGCGAGCCTGCCGCCGGAATGTAGAAAGCTTGGGTCGCGAAGCACACAGGACACGAGGGTACTCTTGATCTAGCAGGGTCGACCTGCTAGTCAGCCTCGGCTGTGTGCGTCGGCGCGTGCGCGCGCGGCCGAGGCCGAGGCTTCAGAAGTCGAGCGCGGCCAGCGGCGCGAGCCACGGAACTCCGCCCGTCGCCGTGTGCTCGTACAGTAGGGGCTCGACCACGAGAAACCTTCCACAAGAAACCTGACTCTGAGGCCCCAGGTCGTCCATGGATTCCTGGCAGGGCTGGACCTCATCGTTTTTGTTCCCGCTTGAGTTCCGTTTTGTGGTTCGCTTCGCTCTACCTGTTGTCCTGTACTTCCCTGCCAAAGCGAAAAACCGAACACAGCTGGAGTCCAGCAACACAGCGTTTAGGTCCAGCCCTGGTGTCTAGGGTGGGAACTGTCACGCTCTCCACGGCAGAGCCATCGAAGCCCAAGACACCCGGCAAGCAGGGTGTTCCTCGGCATGGGTGTTCCTCGGCATGGGTGGTGTTGGTGTTCCTCGGCATGGGTGTTCCTCGGCATGGGCACCCTGGAGGCAAGCGGGGTGTTCCTCGGCATGGGCCTCCACGGTGCGCCGGCGCGTGCGCGTGCGGCCGAGGCTGCAGAGGCCGCGAGCGCGATCGGCGGCGCGAGCCACAGAACTCCACCCACGGCAGAGCCCTCCACTGACAAGCCATACAGAGTACCCCTAACCCTGTGAGAGGGGACCCGAGTTGGGAGGGCCAGGAAAAACATCAGGGATGGGGGGGGCCTCTGCTGCAGGGCGCATCGAACCGAACCGCCCAGAAGTCCTTCCCCGAAGGCCACGTCGGGGACCTCAGTGAGGCCGCGTCTTCACTGTGTCATTAGGCCTAAGTCGGTCGTGTCCCCCTACAGGGGGCTTTTCGACGAAAACTAAGACATACTCCAAACATACTCCCAAATGTAGCCAAACAAATTCTCAAACTAAAATAGTCCCCTGACTGTTTTTTTGACGAGTTGTGAAGATTCCTCCTGCAGGGGGACACGCCCGATTTTAAGGTCAGGGGTTCTCCTATCCTCGAGGAGCCGAGGCACCACAGAGGCCGACCGCGGCCCTCGGCGCGCGGGGACCGCGAAACTCTCCCACCTGCAAGCGAACCCTCCGCTCCTCCTCGTGCGAAGCCCCCCTGGACCGCACCGTCCTCGCGCGCCTGCGACTCCTCCTGCCCCTCCTCGTGCGTATTCGTTTCCTCCTCTTCTTCCTCGGGTTCCGCCTCCTCCTCCACCCCCTCCTCCCTCCAAAATCAAGAAATACTCAAAAAGTCGTCCACATACTATATTTGGACTAATTTTGGTTATTCCTCCTATAAAAAGACATGCCCGACTTAAGCCGGGGAGGACGAGTCCTCCCTCCTGGGATCCAAAGGGCAGCGCGCTACGCCCCGTCCCCTCTGGACACAGTCGCATCGACGACGACGACGAAAACGTGCCCTGTCATCCTCATTCTCCGCCCAGTCCTCAACAGTATCTTCCTCTATCCTCCTCCTCCTCCTCCTCCTCCTCCTCCTCCTCCTCGTCCTCGTCCTCCTTCTCCTCCTCTTCCTCCTCCGCCTCCTCCTCCTGCTCCTCTTCCTCTTCCGCTTCCGTCCGCCGTCCTCCTCCAACTCCTCCTCCTCCTCCTCCTCCTCCTCCTCCTCCTCCTCCTCCTCTTCCTCGTGCTGATCCTCGTCCTCATCTTTGTAGAGCCCGCTGGAAGCGCGAACGAAATCTGTACAACCCTCTGCAACCCTCCAGAGTGCCCCCCCCGCCTGCCCCCCCTTCGACGCGCGGGAGCGCGAAACCGCGCGCGGGAGGAAGGACAGGAGGAGGAGGAGGAGGAGGAGAAGGAGGAGGAGGAGGAGGAGGAGGAGGGGGAGGGGGAGGAAGAGGAGGAGGAGGAGGAGGAGGAAGAGGAAGAAGGAGAGGGAAAGGGAAACGGAACAAGAGAAAGAAAACGAAGACGAGGAAGGGAAGGGAGGAAGAGGAAGAGGAGGAGGAACAGGCGGAGGAGAAGGGGAAGAGGCAGAGGAGAAAGAGGAGGCAAAACGGGGCACGCAGGAGGGATGAGAAGGTGATGCCCCGCATCCTCCTCCTCCTTCTCCTCTAACTCCTGCCCCTCGCCCTGAGAAGAGGGGGTGCCCCGCGGGCATCCTCCTCCTCCTCCTCCTCCTCCTCCTCCTCCTCCTCCTCCTCCTCCTCCTCCTCCCCTCCTCCCCCTCTTCCACCCTCCTCCCCCCTCCTCCCCCTCCTCATCCTCCTCCTCCTCCTCCTCCTCCTCTCCTCCTCCGCCACCTCCACCTCCTCCTCCTCCCCCTCCTCCCACTCACTCCTCCTCATCCTCCTCCTCCTCCTCCTCCTCCTCATCCTCCGCCTCCCTCCGCCCTCCGCCACCTCCACCTCCTCCTCCTCCTCCTCCTCCTCCATCCTCCTCCTCCTCTCTCCTCCTCCTCCTCCTCCCCCTCTCCTCCTCCTCCTCCGCCTCCTCCCTCCCCTCAATCCTCCTCACCCCTAGCCCCTCCTCCTCTCCTTCTTCCCTCCTCCTCCTCCTCCTCCTCCTCCTCCTCCTCCTATTCTCCTCCTCCTCCTTCTCCTCCTTCCCCCTCCTCCTCCCTCCTCCGCCTCCCTCCCTCCTCCTCCTTCCTCCTCCTTCCCCCTCCGCCTCCTCCTCCTGCCCCACCTCCTCCGCCTCACTCCTCTCCTCCTCCCCCTCTCCTCCCCTCCTCCTCCTCCTCCTCCTACTCCTCCTGCTCCTCTCCTCTCCCACCCCCTCCCCCTCCTCCTCCTCCTGCCCGCCCCCTCCGCCCCCTACCCTACCCCTCCTCCTCCTCCTCCTCTCCTCTCCTCCTCCTCCGCCGCCTCCGCCTCCATCCCCATCCTCCTCCTCCTCCTCCTTCTCCTCCTCCTTCCTCCTCCGCCTCCCCTCCCTCCTCCTCCGCCTCCGTCCTCCCTCCTCCTCGTCTTATTATTATTATTAATGCCTTTCGTCCTTATACTTATTATTCGTCTTTCCTTCTCATCTTCTTCTTCTTATTCTTCCTCCTCCTACCTCCTCCTCCTCCTCCTCCTCCTCCTCCTCCTCCTCCCCTTCTTCAACTCCTGCCCCTCGCCCTGAGAAGGGGGGGTGCCCCGCCTCCTTATAGATAACTTCTCCCTGTCGCACCTCGAAGCCCGTCGAAAGGGCGGGCCGGGCGTGTCGCCTGAGAGTTCCTCACCGCTTGTGGCCGTGCCGAGCCCCCCCCCCCCATGGTGAAAATCCGCAGGCTCCTGGGCGGGGCGGGGTGATGAGTGGGCGAGTGGGGGTGGATGCGTCCCTCAGCGGAGGACAAGGTACCCACACCCCTAGTCAACGTTTTCTTATTTCGGCGCTGGACAAACCTCCCTTTAGTAGACCTCCCCTTAGTGAAATCGGCCTGGGACCGAAACCGACGGACCTGGACCCGCAAAAATGACGGCCGCGACGCCCTCTCGCGAACCGAAAACGGCCAATTCCTGAATCGACGTGTCAGGGTAGGAGGTCTGTCCACCCCCGATTATTCGGCGTTTCGGCATTGGGCGGAAGGGGGAGGAGCGGCGGGGGTCTGGCTCTGGACCTCTGCTCAGTGCGACTGTTTGCAGCAGTGCGGCAGATGGGCTAGGGACCCCACCTGCTCGAAACAGGCGACCAAAAACAGCCAAGATCTACTCTCCAGGGGGAGGGGAAGGGGGGGGCCGAGGGCCCGCGCCGATCGGCAAAACAATGAATAAGAAAACGATCGCCGACCCTCGCCTCGTTTTCCCGTCTTCCCCGTTCTGGGGCTCCTAAGCGGCTGGATTCGCCTTGAAATCCTGGTCAGAACGCACCCGGGGAGAGGTCCGGGGAGTAGCGGTATCCGTACCTTCTAAGCTGTGAGGACCGCGCAACCCACCCCCACCCCCAGCCACGACCCCCACTCCCCGACCTGGTGATCCAAGGGGTCCCGGCCCCCGAGGACTTCAAAATCCCACCGCCGCGCTGAAGCTTTTTCGAGCGCGGCGGGCCATCGAACGTAGGTAAGAATGTACCGAAGAGGCACGGATGCAAGGGTACTGTAGTAGTGGAAACAAGTGGTTTTCAAAATGTTTAGTCTTTAGAAGCTCTGCGTGGCGACGCCCCCGTCGCCACGCGTGCCCTCTGCGTGCCTGCGGGGGCGCCGCCACGTAGAAGTACTGGAGACCGAGCATTTGGGGCGCCGCTAAGCACGCCCTCTGCGTGGCTGCGACCATTTGTGAAAACCCTAAAACCAATTAAATTCACTAATAAAGTACCTTCGGGAGGGACGATTGCTCCAGACTTGTAACAAACGAGAGGGGGTCACAACCCTCCCAGACGAGCAGCCGTAGACCCCCCCCAGACCAGCTATGAAAGGGCGGCCTTCTGCCCAGACCGCCCAGAACCATCCAAGACAGCTCCAATCAGACCCCCTCCCAAGTCAGACCCCCCCCCCTTTTATTGTGGAATCCTAGGTGCCCATCCTTACCATCGGGTTCGACTGTACAACCAACCCGTGTAATCAGGACGCACGCTGAGGATGCAGGGGCCTTGGAAGTCCATGGAGACACTCTGCGAGCGGGGGGGGCGGCCGGCGAAAGCGGCCAAGGATGGGCCGAAGGGGGAGGATGCAATGGCAGCTTCGGAAAGTCGCTCGTCCTTACCATCGGTTTCGACTGCCCCCCCCACCTTTGAGGCCTCCTGGGTGGGGTCGGAGTAGATGGGGCCGGAAAATGGCGCTGCACTGGCGACGCGTCGGGACGGGCGATGCATCGGGGATGCACCGGCGACGCATCGTCGACGTCGGCGACTCCTCGGCAACGTCGACGTGGAGCAGATCGGGCTCCCGCGGTGCGACCCTCAGAACCCCATCTCTGCCCCGACCCCCTCTGGGAGGCCTGGATCCCCCGTCGTTGCCCGCGACCCCTTGGGGAAACCTGAAGGTGCGATGTCGGTACCGCCCTGGACCTCTCCTGGGGTGCGTTCCGACCAGGATTTCGGGGCGAATCCAGCGGAGACGACGAGGGCCTCCCAGGAGGCCCCAAAAAGAGCGAAAACGAGGCACGGGGGTAGCGGTACCCATCGGTCGGAAGAAGTAGGTAGAAACATGAAGTAGGAAAGCGTTGAGAGTAGATTGGGTTCCGTCCGCCCCCTAATGAGGACGGAAAAGGTGAAGCCACTCGACCATAGGAGTAGGAAGGCGCTTAAAGTAGAATGGAATCTGGGAGTCCAAAAATACCTACTTTCAACGACCAATGGACATGGATACCTTTTCCTCCTCTCACGGGGTGCGTTCTGACCAGGATTTTGAGGCGAATCCAGCAGAGACGACGAGGGCCTCCCAGGAGGCCTCCAAAAGAGCGAAAACGAGGCAAGGGCAGAGGCACGGGTACCCGTCGCCCCTCTGGATCTGGGAGGCCTGGACCCCCCGTCGCTGCCCCCGACCCCCCCCCCCCGGGGGCGACGAGGAGCGGCTCGAACGCCCAGGGCTCCGCCGCGGCGAGCCTGGGGGGGAGGGGGAGGAGGCGGAGGAGGAGGAGGAGGAGGGAGGAGGAGGAGGAGGAGAAGGAGGAGGAGGGAAGGGGGAGGGGAGGGGGAGGGTGGAGGAGAGGAGGAGAGGAGGAGGAGGAGAGGAGAGGAGGAGAGAGAGGAGGAGGAGGAGGAGGAGGAGGAGGAGGAGGAGGAGAGGAAGAGAGAGGAGGAGGTGGAGGAGGAGAGGAGGAGGAGCGAGGAGCGAGGAGCGATGGAGGAGGAGGATGAAGGGAGAGGAGAGGAGGAGAGGAGGAGGAGGAGGAGGAGGAGGAGGAGCGAGGAGCCGAGGAGCGAGGAGAGGAGGAGCGGAGCGAGGAGGAGGAGAGGAGGAGCGAGGAGGAGGAGGAGCGGAGGAGGGAGGAGAACGATGAGCGAGGAGAGTGGGGAGGAGGAGGAGGAGGAGGGAGGGAGGAGGAGGAGGAGGGGGGAGGAGAGGAGGGAGGAGGAGCGAGGAGGAGGAGGCGGAGGCGCGCGAGGAACGAGGAGGAAGAGGAGAGAGGAGGAGGAGGGAGGAGGAGGGAGGGAGAGGAGGAGGAGAGGAGGAGAGTCAGGAGGCCAGCGGCGAGGCGTGCCGAAGCGCTTCCTCACAGTCGGCCCGCAGCAGAAGTCAGGGCACTCGCTGGTGGGCCTGCTCTCACCACCGCCAGCACCATAAGCAGGAGGGGGAGGGTCCTCCTCCTCCTCCTCCTCCTCCTCCTCCTCCTCCTCCTCCTCCCCCTCCTCCTCCTCCCCCTCCCCCTCCTCCTCCTCATCCTCCTCCTCCTGCTCCTGCTCCTCCTCCTCCTCTTCGCCCTCCTCCTCATCCTCCACCTCCCTTCCCCCTCCCATGGTTGGTGGTGGTGGTGGTGGTGGTGGTGCAGAACAGACCCATCACTCGCTGCTCTATCGGCGCACAGACATTCTTCCGAAACTGCCCGTTCTTTGCGCCAGCGGCACGCGGCGAGTGGACGAGCGAGGAAGCGCGCACGAGCGGAGGCCAGGAGCGACAAAAACGGGGGAGGAGAGGGACGACTCTCATACAGTATGGGGACCTTCCACAAGAAACCTTCCACAAGAAACCCCACCCTGAGACTCCAGGGCGTCAACCGACTTTAGGTGAGGGAGCGTCACGCTCTCCATGGCAAAACCATCGACACATAAGAAACCCAGGGCACCCTGGAGGCAAGCAGGGTGTTTCTTGGCATGGGTCTCCACTGTGCAGTCAACCCGTGTCAGAAGGATGCGCGATAGAAAGGACTCGGACGCCCGTTGCAGAACTTTCCGGGCGGGGCGCGGCAAACGAAAGTGGCCACAAGGATGGACCGATGAGGCGAGGCTGCAAGGGTACCCTTGGGAAGGTCACCCATCCTTACTATGCGGGTTGACTGCATCGGCGTCTCGACATGGGGCGGAAGGGGGAGAGGAGGGGAGGGGTCTGGCTCTGGACCTCTGCTTGCATGCGACTGTTTGCAATAGTGCGCCCTATGTGGGGGAGACTCCACCTGCCTGCAACGGGCGCCAACAAAAAGCCAAGATCTACTCCATGGTGGGGAGGTGGGGGGACGAGGGCTCGCGCCTATCGGCAAAGCAATAAAGAAGAACATGATCACTTGGACCCCGCGAGGCCCCAAGAGGCCCCCAACAGGCCCTCAGGAGGCCCCCAAGAGGCCCCCAAGCGGCCCCAGGAGGCAACCCAAATGCCCCCCCGAGCACGCAAGCAAGTGCCAGCGACGCTACACTATGGGCCGGCGGAATGAGCGAAGCGATTCAATAAAGAAGAACATGATCACTTGGACCCCGCGAACACCCACAAGAACATAAGGAAACAACCTGAAAGGACTTTTTTGTCTGGGGCTGCCCCCCCGGAGCCCGACGTGGGGGGGAGGTTGGGTTTTTGTTGGGGGGGGGTCCAGGGGGGCCTAGGGGGGGGCACGCTGAAAAGAAAACCATGTCGGGAAGCAAGACGCAGCAGAGAAAACCCGAACAAACGCAACAAACCTCGCAAAAACTGCACAACAAAACCCTGAGTAGAAGGTTTTTCAACGGGTTTCTGGAGGGGGTCCAACAAAACTCCCAGGTCGCAATTCGGGAAAAAAACCCGCGGGAACCCCCGATTCGGAGTTTTATCGTTTATGTGTCTTCTGTTTTTCCGGCGTTGTTCGGGCACCCGGGGAGGAGTCCCTTCCCCAGACCTCACAAAAACCCATCAAAAGCGGGGTTTTGGATGGAGTTAACATGGTTTCCCCCTCTCAGGGATGCTTCAAAAGGGTTCAAACATGTTGTCCCTCCCCGGACTCTGCCAACACTCCCCTTAGAGGGCTTCTTGGAAGGCTTAAGCATTGCCCACCTGGACCGCAGATTTTTCTTCAAGTGTTGTTCGACGCCTGTTGATGCCTCCGAGCGACTCGGGGACGCTTTGGAAGGGCCTCGTCTAGCAGCGGGTGGCGCACGGCAAAGGGGAACGTCTCGTACCAAGGGAAGTTTCTTTGATCAGCTTGGGGAGGGGCCTCGTCTAGAAGCGGGTGGCGCGCAGCAGAGGGGCACGTCTAGTACCGAGGATGTTTCAATATTCAGCTTGGGGAGGGGCCTTGTCTAGCAGCGGGCGGTGCACAGCAGATGCGCACGTCTGGCACCGAGGATGTTTCCTTGATCAACTTGGCGAGTGGCCTTGTCGAGCAGCGGGCGGTGCACAGCAGAGGGGCGCGTCTAGCACAAAGGACGCTCTAACACATCAGCTCGGGGAGGGACCTCGTCTAGCAGCGGGCGGCGCACAGCAGAGGGACACGCCTTGTACCAAACATACGTTGTTTAAACAGCTCGGGACCGTGCCTCGTCTAGAAGCGGCTGGCGCACGGCACAGGGGCACGTCTCGTACCAAGGATGCATTGCTTTTTCTTTGGGAGGGGCCTCGTCGAGCAGCGGGCGATGCACAGCAGAGGGGCACGCCTTTTACCCTGGACGTTTTTTATCAGCTTTGGGAGGGGCCCCCGTCGAGAAGCGAGTGATGCACAGCAGAGAGGCACGTCTGGTACCAAGGATGCGTCCTCGACCAACTCGGGGGGGGACTCGTGTAGCAGTGGGTGGTGCTCGGCACAGGGGTACGTACGCACAGTGCCAAGCGATACACGGCAGAGGGGCCGGTCCAGCATCAAGGATGCTTCCTGAATCAGCTTGGGGGCTCGAGGCTCCCGACTGGGTCCCGACTGGGGGCTGATGCGTTTGCATTGGCCCCCGTCTCGAGGCTCCCGACCAGGTCCCAGCCCCCCACTCCCGGCGCCGGCCAGGCAGGAGCCTCCGCCTCTCCCCGCCGATGTGCTGCTGGAAGTCCACCTGGTAGATGCCCAGCTCGGCGGAGGGGGCCATGCAGCGCAGGAGGCAGGAGTGGCCCAGACTCGAGTCGGTGAGTCGTCGGATCGGCGATCAAAAGGAATCGGGTCGGCGGAAATCGGCAGCCAAGCCGGGAGAAGTTGAATCGGCGGACATCGGCAGGCTAGTACGCCTCCAGTGAGGAATCGGCATCCACCCGCATCGCATCGAATCGGAATCGGAAGCCATCGAAATCGAATTGACTCGACTCGGAGGACTCGAAATGTGCCCTGAGGAGGCGGCGGGATCAGTCAACATCGAATCGGCGGGAAGTCCACAAGAAAACTTCCACAAGAAACCGAACCCTGAGACCCCAGGACGTCCATGGATTTTTGGTGCGGGAGTGTCGCGCTTTCCATCGCAAAACCATCGAAACCCGAGAAAGCCAAGGCACCCTGGAGGCAAGCAGGGTGTTTCTTGGCATGGGTCTCCACTGTAAGAAGGATGCACGATGAGGACGCCAGGGCCATGGAAGGCGCGCCTTGGAGCTCGTCGAGCGGGGCGCGGCCAGTGAGAGCGGCCGAGGATGGCCCGAAGAGGCAAAGATGCGAGGGTACCCTTGTAAAATTGCCCATCCTTACTACCTTACTGCCCAGACCCCCGACGTCATGACCTTTTCATCAAGTCGGCCCCCAGACCCCCAGAGGTCTCGAGCCTTTCCCCGGGACCGGTTTTGCGTCCTGAGTCGTTCCCTGACCGTCCAGAGGCTTGGCGAGGGCCCTCGGAGGCCGCAAACAGGGACCCCCCCCCGTCGTGATTCTTGCCCCCGACGCGAAGGGGTGTGGCTTGACTGTAGTCACCCCGACGCGCGAAGCCGTTACGGCAAGCCGCCTCGGATCGCAGCGTGCGTGGGCTCGGGCCACGCCGGCGCAGAGCCGACGTCTGCCCCGATCGGCCGCCCCCCGAGGGTGCACCGCGGCGCGCCGGTGCTTACCAGCCTCGGACGTATCCCTATCTCTAAGATTGACACGCCAAAAGGCGATGACAATCTTAGGGATTCGCCTTCAAAAAATAAGGGGATTCCCTAGGATTGGCATCGTGATGAGGAGATGCCCAGCATAGGGACAGGGATATGTTCCAGGCTGGTAAATCGTGTCGGCGGCAGCTTGGAGCCGAATCGGATCGAGCAGGGCGAGCTCGGAGACCTCCGAGACTCCGTGCCCATGCCGATTGCCTGTTTGCGCTCTCCATCACCAATGTCATCGTCATCGTCGTCGTCCTCGTCATCCTCATCGTCATCTGCATCATCATCATCATCATCATCATCATCATCATCATCATCATCATCATCATCATCATCATCATCATCATCATCATCATCATCATCATCATCATCATCATCATCATCATCATCATCATCATCACCATCATCATCATCATCATCATCTTCATCATCATCATCATCATCATCATCATCTTCATCATCATCATCATCATCATCATCAGCATCGTCATCATCACCAGCATCAGCATAATCATCATCGTCATAACCATCATCACAACAATCACTATCACCATCTTGCCATCATCATCATGGTCATCACCAGCAATCTAACGATCATCGTCTTCGTCATCGTGACATCATCAGCAGTGTCATCGTCATCGTCATCATCATCCTCATACTCATCAACTTCATCATCAGCATCATCATCGTATGCATCATCATCAGCAACATCATCATCCTCATCAGCATCCTCATCACCATCAGTTACGTCATCCTTATTATCAGCATCACGACTGGCATCACCAGCATCATCATCACCACCACCATCATCATCATCAAAATCTTCATCATCATCATCATCATCATCACCGCCATCATCATCAAGCCCCCCCCGTATCTGCACCTGAGTGTGGCTCTACCTCACGCTAGGTACAGACGGCGGAGGCCGAACCGCTTTTGTTGATGTTTGACCACGTGTGAGCATTCCCCCTCTCAGAGAGCCATGCCCGACTTGAAGTTACGACCGCGCGAGGCCTGTCCGTCGCGCGGTGCCCCAGCCGCTGGGCAGCGCGCGGCCGCGGGGGGGAGGCGACCGAGGGCGCAGATGGCCCGCCATCGACGCTCGGGGTCGGTCTGGGCTGCTCTGCCTTGAAGGGGCTCAGGGACACGCGCGCAGAAAGAGACACACATCCCAGGATTCCAACTGTGCTCCCATATGTTATGTGTCTTCGTCTACCGCCCCCCCACTTCCCACATGTTTTGATATGTTCGAGGGGGTCGCCGATTCATCGTGCATGTGTGTGCTTTCCCCCTCCTGACCTGCCTGTCGGCGCGCACAGGGGGTACAGTAGGAGCTCGACCACAGGAAACTTTCCCCACGACACTCAACCCTGAGGCCCCAGGACGTCCACAGTTTTTGTGTGGGAGCGTCACGCTCTGAATAGCGAAACCATCGAAACCCAAAAAACCCAGAGCACCCTGGAGGCAAACAGGGTATTTCTCGGCATGAGTTTCCACTGCAGGTGGAGGAGGGGGAAAGCCTCCCAGAAAGAGGCCGCTTCTCAGAAGGCGCAGGCCGTGCGCCTATAGATAAGGCCCGCGCCTTCTAAGGAGCAACCTGCTTCTTAGAAGGCGTCGGCCTTACGTCTACAGACAAGGCCCGCGCCTCATCAGAAACAACCCCCTTCTGAGAAGCCTTCTCCCCTGACCCCCCCGTGCACGCCACCTATCTGTCGGGGCGGTGAATATGCTGTTGCGCGACGATACGGCTGATCCGCCTTGGCGGAGCGGAGGATGATGAGGAGGGGGAAGAGGAAGAGGAGGAGGAGGGGGAGGAGAAGGAGGAGGGGAAAGAGGGGAAGGAGCCTGGGCGCAATGCGGAGACCCCCTGCGTCCCAGGTGGACACTCCCAGACGTTTTCGGTCGAACGGTTTGGTGTTTCCCCATCTCTCGGGCGGGTCGTCTGCGAGCGTGTCTCTCATGGCACGGGCTGGGGCCCTGCGGACGCAGCGCCAGAGGGAAATACAGGCCTTGGTTTAGGAGGCTGTGTTGAGTGGGGAGCCCCAGACCTCCTCAAACGCGCGGATCATTACCATTGGTATCATCATTGCAATCCGTATCACCAGTACCATCAGTACCAGCAGCATCAACATCATCATCAACAACATCATCAGCATGATTACCAACATCACCATCATCATATCATCATCATCATCACCGCCGTCATCCTGATATTCACCATCAGCAACACCATGATCAGCATCATGGTCCTAATGATGGTCATACTCAAGAACATCAGTATCATCATCAGCATCACCATCATCACCAACAACACAAGCATCACCATTATCAGCATCATCATCAACATCCTCATCTCATTACGATCACCGTCAGTATCACCATCATGATAATACTCGTCATGATTCTGAGCATGGTCATGGTCATGATCATGAACATCGTCACCATCATCAGCAGCATCACCGCGATCAGCATCACCATCTTCATAACCATGGCCATCATCATCATCATCGTCATCGTCATCGTCATCATCATCATCATCATCATCAGCATCATCATCATCATTGTCAGCGTCACCGTTGTCACCAACAGCAACATGAACAACACCATCATCCTGGTCTAACTCATCCTCCTCCTTCTCGTCGTCGCGTTCCTACTTGGCCTTCCAGGGGCGTAGTGGCGGCGCTGGGGCCAGGTGGCAACCACGCCCCGCCCGGAAGAGGTCGACGATCTAGAAAAACAGAAGACTGAATAAACAAAAACTGGTGGAGGTCTGCGCGGGTAGATCGGATCCGCGCTGAACGCCCCTCCCTGGCGCGCGGAACGCACGAGGGAGGGCCCCGGAGACGCGGCCAGGGGGGGTCGCACATCCGAGAAATCTGCGCGGAACTCCGACTTGCTTTTGCTCGTCCAAGATCCTGATATGAGGGGCACGTTCGGGGGGGGGCTGGCTCAGCGGGGGAAGCATCGAAAGATGCATCGATAATACTGGCAAGCGAAAGTGGGGGTCGGGCGAAGGGTCCGGGCAATGGTGTCTGTATGGGCCACGCCTGGGCGATGCATCCTCGATTGTTGTGTTCGGCGGGGGAACCAGAAGCTCCCCGCCTGCACCCACGCGCGAGACTTCAGGGTGGACGAAGCAAGGCGGGGGGCTCGGGAGAGGCGACGAATGCAACGTGCGCCGAGGGCGCAAAAACGAAAGATTTGAATAAACGAAAATGCAGAGGTGAGTGTCAAAACCTGCCCAGCCAATCTGACATGCGGAACACTGCGCATCAGTTTTTTGGGATCTTGAGGGCCAGGGCAAAATGTGAAGTCACATTGTGGGGAAAAGCAAAATGTGAATTCACATTTTGGGGCAAAGGAATATGTGAATTCATATTGTTGGACCAATTAAAAATGTTAATTAACAGTTCGCATTTTTGCATAGGAATCTGTATGAAGGGGTCAGGATGTGAATTCACATTTTGGGGAAAAACTGTGAGTTCACATTCAGGAAAATGCGAATGTGAATTCACATGTTGGGAGAATCGCGGGGCCCATTCCCGATCTGTCTGGGAGGTCGACACGTCATAGTTTGGGAACGTACGCGATCATCAATCGCACTATCAAGACACACTTGCACTCCACTTCGCCGCCCCACGCGCTATGTCCAAGAACGCCCGCACTCATGAACGATAATGGATGGACGGCGCGTTTGCCCGCGCGGGCAACGCGCGGGCACGAACGACAGGCCTCCCATGACCGCCAACATTGGATGCCAATCGTACCCGATCACATACATGAGCGGTACATTGAGCATACATGGGCCATTCAGCCCCCATTGAAATCCCCCTGTTGCAGACCCCTTCTTTCACCCTGCAATAATACATCGGCGATCGATAGCGAATGCGCACGGCCTTGTGTTGCCATCTATCAGGCCCCTATCGGCGATGCATGGGACGATCGGGGGTCGATGATTCCCCCCCTGAGCCTATTTCCCACTACCATTGCCCCTGAAAGGAAAAACTCCTGAGAATTGTTGGAGGTTTCTGGAGGCTTTCAGATGGGTTTGGCCGGTCTCTGGAGGAGCAGGCCGAGGATGACAAGGATGGTGACGCCAAACCTCGGGGACTCGCCTCCCAATGAGTCGAGAGTTCTGGACCCGCCCCTGGCCCTCCCTCCCTGGGGTGGTGTCGGGAGGAGATCATTCGCATCGTTCCATCTTCCCCTCCCTCATGGACCAGGATCATCATCGTCATCATCATGATCATCATACCCGTGATCACCATCATCATCACCATCATCATCAGTTGCATCGTCATCACCACCACCACGATGATGATCATCATCATCATCATCATCATCAGCATCATCCTCATCCTCGTCCTCGCCCTCATCCTCATCATCGTGTTCATCATCATCATCATCATCATCATCAGCATCATCATCAGCATCATCATCATCATCATGATCATCAGCATAAGCGTCATCATCAACATCAGTACCATAATCACCATCACCATTATCGACAGCATCATCACCATCGTCATCATCACCATCATCACCATCCTCACCATCACCATCATCTCCACCAGCATCATCGTCACCAGCACCACTATCATCATCAGCAGCAGCATCATCATCATCCTCACCATCAACAGCACCATCACTATCATTACTCTCTGCTCCTCCTCCAACCTTCGCCTTGATATTCCTGCTCATCATTTCGACCTTCGCCCGCCTGCATTTCTATTAACCTCCTCATCCTGTTGCTGCGGCGGCTCGTCGTCCTCCTCCTCCTCCTCATCATCATCATCATGTCAGTCCCCCTCCTCGTCCTCCTCGTCCTCCTCCTCCTCCTCCACCTCCTCCTCCATCCCCTTCTCTCCACCACCATAACACCCCTCATCCCTCTGCCTTCCTCTACTTCCCTGCTCTTTGTTCATCCGCAATCCTCCCAGCCTCCTTCCTCCCGCCCTCCTTCCTCCTCCTCCTCCTCCTCCTCCTGCTCCTCCTCCTCCTGCCCCCGGGCGGGCAGCCGGTTGGTGTGGGCGGCACCTCCCGGCGCCCGGGGGAACTGAAACCCGCTTAGTCGTGGCCTGTATGGGGGCTGCGCCACTGCCGTGGGTGGGTGGGTGGATTCGGCAGTGGGGGCACCGACCCCGGTCTTCGGGCCTAAACGGTAAACCCGTTTCGGCTACGGCCCGTTCGGGTCCCCTTTACTGTCTTGGCCCGGCGACTTCCCAGTCGCGCCAGGGTGTGGAGGGGGGGTCCGGCTTCGGCCAGGCTCATGGGGAGTCCTGCTCTGTCCCCCTTGCGCAAGGGGACTAGGGTGAGCAGACCAGGGCACCCGCCCCGAGACTCGCACCAGGTGCCCCGCCTGGTGGCGAGGGGTGTCCTGTGTCCCCAGCCAGTGCCTGGTGTGCCTGGCGGGTGGCAGGAGGGACCCCTCCCATCGGGGGGGGGGTCGGTCCTGGAGGCGTAGGACGTGTACGTGCACCTCTGAGTCCCACTCCCCTCCTAGGCCGTTTGAGGTCACTGCACACGCAGTGGCAGTGTTGGGTTTTCAATATTCATCACTACGTGATGGCGGAATTCCTGGAAATCCTCCTCCTCCTCCTCCTCCTCCTCCTCCTCCTCATCATCATCATCATCATCATCATCATCATCATCACCACCATCATCATCATCATCATCATCATCAGCATCCTTCCTGTTCTTCCTTCTCCTCCTCCTCCTCCTTCTCCTCTTGCTCATCCCCCTCCTCCTTCTTCTCGTTCTACCCTCTCCTCGTTCCTTCTCTCCTCCTCCCCTCTGGGGGAACACAGAACAACCCATACCGAAATTCCCCAGATCTCTGCGGGGGGCGCATGCTGAGCAAGACGTCGAGGCAATGTCTGACCGTGGCGACGAGGAAAGAGTAGCGGCATCAGTACATGCTCAACTTCTGTCAGGTTGGGTATGTCCTCCTACAGGCGGATGTTGAAGGAAACATCGGCATAGTGAAAACAAATCATCAAACATAATCAAATAGGATTCGACAAATCTCATCCCGACTATGTTTTCAATACGTTTGAGTATTCCTCTTATATACGGGGATGCCCGACTGAAATCTTCTGATCTCCTGCCTGGGTAGTCGAAGCCAATCTGGCGCCAATCTGGCAGGCCCAATCTGGCAAATGGGGGCAATCTGGCGAGGGAGCCAACGCGAATCCAGTCTGGCGAATAACCCAAATCCTCCAATTTGGCCAGGCCAGATTGGCCCTTGGGGCCCAGTCCAATCTGCCAGTCTGGCCTTCGACTACCCAGCCTGCCACCCTCCCCCCCCAATGGCCTCCTTCAGCAGAGCTATCAACCCCGACCAGCCCCAGCACAGCTGCAGCACCCGCGTCATGCGGCTGAGCACCTCGCGCGCGAGGGGCCGCCGCAGCCGCGGCCTCCGCGAGGCTGCAGCGACGGGGGGCCTGGCAGATGTCGGCGCCGCCACCGCACGGGGCGATGCATGGCGCTTGCCTACTCCGCATCTGCTCCTGCTCGCAGTCGTCGCCGCCTCTGTCCT